ATCTTTTCTTTTTTTTGCTTTTTGGGTCATACCCTGGGTGCTCAGGTGTTACTTCTGGCTCATGCACCTAGGAATTACTCCTAGCGTTGCTCGGGGGACCATCTGGGATGCTGGGAATAGTACCTGGGTTGGCCATGTGCAAGGCAAACACCCTACCGGTTGTCCTATCGCTCCAGTCCTCCCAAGTGACATCATTTTTGTTTCTCTACCAGTGTTTCTATTTCAAACACTTTAAACCCAGCATTTATTTCCCAGTCTTAGCATAGCATTTTGTAATAGATGATAAATAAATTATTATAAACTTTTTGTGTATTTGTCAGGTACATCTGATCACAAAAGATGTTTTGTTGTTGGGTTTATTCCTGGGTCTGTGGTCAGGGATTACTCCTGGTGGGGCTCAGGGAACCATATGTGGTGCCAGGAATCGTACCCAGGTCAACTGTGTGCAGGGGAATGTCTTATTTCTCAGCTGCTACTGATGACATTTTTATATTTGCTCAGACTAAGGGTGTTGTTTTTAATATTCCCCTCCCTATTTATTTGCACGCAGCTGACATGGCCAACCCGAGTTCCATTCCTCCGTTCCTCTCGGAGAGCCCGGCCCAGCAAGCTACCGAGAGTATCTCGCCCACACGGCAAAGCTTGGCAAGCTCCCCGTGACATATTCAATATGCCAAACACAGTAACAAGTCTCACAATGTTACTGGGCCCGCTCGAGCAAATCGATGAACAACGGAGGACAGTGACAGTGACAGTGATTTATTTACTTTTGTTTTAAGTTAGCTGTGCAATGCTGAATGACTAAATGTTTATAGTTTAAAGGAGTTTCCATCTTGAAATCACACTGGTGGAGAGATGGGTGTTGGAACATAATATGACTCAGACCCAGTCATGAGCAGTTTTGTAATGCTCCATCTCATAGTGACTCAATGAAATTAAAATTAATATTTAAAAAAAATCTCAGGAATCAAGTGACAAAGGTTTTAAAACACTAAAATAAGTAAATAAGAGTTTCCATCGTTTTACAGGTAATATATTTAAGTACTTATGAATGAAAACATTGGATGCATGGAAATTTGAGATAATGTAGGTTAGAGTAAGCTGAGGTAAGTGACATAGATCAGGGCAGGAGAGATGGTATTCTGGATGGGGCAATTGCATTCCTTGAGGCCAACCTGGGTTCAATGCCCAGCATCCCATATGTTCCCCTGAGCACCTACAGGAGTGATCCCTGAGAGCAGAGCCAGAAGTAAGCCCTGGCCATCACCAGGTGTGTGGGGAAAAATACACACACACACACACACACACACACACACACACACACACACACACACCAAATGATGTAGATTGATGACTTGATAGCTGTTATAAATGAGTATGAAAATATCATAGTGCCCCCCAATACCACACACCCCACCCCAAGTCAATTAATGGGTTGAGGAGATGGTACAAAGGGAGGAAGCACTTGTTTTGCATGTAGAAGCCCTGGGTTTGAGCCCCTGTACCACATGGCCCCCCTAGCACTGCTAGAATGCTCCAGCCCCTTCGCCAAAGACAATTGGAAATTTTAAGACACATTCGTGATATAAGTATGTTTTTAAAATGTTATAAATATCGGGCTGGAGCAATAGCACAGCGGGTAGGGCGTTTGCCTTGCACGCGGCCGACCCGGGTTCAATTCCCAGCATCCCATATGGTCCCCTGAGCACCGCCAGGGGTAATTCCTGAGTGCAGAGCCAGGAGTAACTCCTGTGCATTGCCGGGTGTGACTCAAAAAGCAAAAAAATAAATAACTAAATAAAATGCTATAAATATCTTAATTTTTTAAGCCCTTATATTTTTAGGGATATAATATACTGATATATATGTTGGTTTAAAATGACAAAGTCTAGGGGCTGGAGCAATAGCACAGCGGGTAGGGCGTTTGCCTTGCACGCAGCCGACCCAGGTTCGATTCCCAGCATCCCATATGGTCCCCTAAGCACCGCCAGGGGTAATTCCTGAGCGCAGAGCCAGGAGTAACCCCTGTGCATCGCTGGGTGTGACCCAAAAAGCAAAAAAAAAAAAAAAAATGACAAAGTCTAGGATTTGGTCCAAAACAACCCAATAGATCATAGGAAGTGAGTGAAACTATAAAAAATGCCATGAATCAATAATTATTACAGCTAATTTATGACTAGATGGCATTTTATACTATTATCTTTAATTTTGAATCGGTTTGACATTTTCTGTAACCAAAAGTTTAAAAAGGGAGGCCAAGGGATGGATCTCAGTGACACAGTTCATGCTTTGAATTTACAGGGCCCTGGGTTCGATCCTTAGCAGCCCTCAATAAAAGTTTTAGAAAAGAAAGTACGTTGCTGGGGCTGGAGAGATAGTCTAGCAGGAAGGGTGCTTGTCGTTCATTGACTCTATCCCCAGTATCTTGGATGATCCCCTGAGCCCTGCCAGGAGTGGTTCCTGAGTGCAGAGCCAGGAGTGATTCCTGAGCATCACTGGGTGTGGCCCCTCCAAAAAAAGTACCTGTTGGAAACAAACACACACAAACATACACAAAAAATGTGTATACACATTTTCCATTTGTGTAATATAATGACTGCGTGTAAGGCAAACGCCCTACCGCTGTGCTATTACTGCAGCCCTTACACGCAGCCAACATGGCCGAGCCGAGTTCGATTCCTCCGCCCCTCTCGGAGAGCCCGGCAAGCTACCAAGAGTATTCGATATGCCAGACACAGTAACAACAAAGTCTCCAATGGAGATGTTACTGGGCCCGCTCGAGCAAATCGATGAACAACGGGAGGACCATGACCGTAATATAATGAATTTTTTTTTTTTTGGGCTTTTGGGTCACACCTGGCGATGCACAGGCGTTACTCCTGGCTCTGCACTCAGTAATTACAGCTGGCGGTAGCTACGGGGACCATATGGGATGCTGGGAATCGAACCTGGGGTCAGCTACGTGCAAGGCAAACAACACCGTATCAGCTGTGCTATTGCTCCAGCCCCAATATACAAAAAACACAGTCCTCCCGTTGTTCATCGATTTGCTCGAGCGAGCCCAGTAACGTCTCTATTGTGACAATTGTTACTGTGTTTGGCATATCGAATACGTTGCGGGTAGCTTGCCAGGCTTTGCGGTGCGGGCGAGATACTCTTGGTAGCTTGCCGGGCTCTCCGGGAGGGGCGGAGGAACCAAACACGGCTTGGCCTGGCTGGCTGCGCGCAAGGCAAACGCCCTACCGCTGTGCTATCGCTCTAGCCCCAATAAAATGAATCTTTAAAAATCTTTTTTTGGAGGCAGGATTTGAACTTAGAGTTTCATCCCTATGCTGCATATATAACTGAACCACATTCCCAGAGCTTAAGAGGTTTTATATTTACAAAATAGATCTAAATGAAAAAATACTTGGCTTAAAGAAAATTATTCAGTGTTTTCTCAATATAATAGCCTAAAAGTATTCAGAAGGGCCAATTTTTTAAATTTTTTATTTAATTTTTGGAAGGAAGGAAGGCCCTCCCGTTGATCGTCGATTTGCTCGAGCGGGCCCAGTAACGTCTCCATTGGAGACTTTGTTGTTACTGTGTCTGGCATATCGAATACTCTCGGTAGCTTGCCGGGACTCACAGTGAGATACACGGTTGGATTTCAGTCATATAATATTCCAGCATCCGTCCCTTACCAGTGTGCATTTCCTACCACCACCAATGCCCCAGTTTCCCTCCAGCCCCCACCCTGTCTACGGCAGACACACACTCTCTCTCTTTCTCTCTCTCTCTCTCTCTCTCTCTCTCTCTCTCTCTCTCTCTCTCTCTCTCCCTCCACCTCTTTGGGCGTTATGGTTAAGTGACAACAATTTTTGTCAAGAGGAGAATTAAGCTGGAACATTTGCCATATTATCCTTTATTGAAGCTGTTGAAAGAAAGCTTTTTATAGACTTTATTGTACCCCTGATATCTTCATTTGAAAACGAGCCAGACTCTTAGGTATATTTTGGGTCTGAAAATATAATATAGGCAGTGAGGTGCTTGCCTTGCATGTGGCTGACTCTGGTTACGTCTCTGGCCCACAAGATCTCAGTTCTGAGCACAAAACTAGGAGTAACTCTGAGTTACTAGTGTCCTAGTGTCCTAGTGTCTTTATGTGTATCTGTGAGCATACATATAAGTGTGTATGTGTATATGTGTGTGTATACAGATACACACACATTTTGGGGGTCCATACCCAACTGTACTCAGGGATCACTCCTGGGTGGGCTCAGGGGATCATATTAGTGCCAGGATTGAACCTGAACCTAGGTAATAACTCTATAAAAATGTATTTTCAATGTATAGTAATAAAGGGGGATACCTTAATCACCCTTGACCTCTGTTTAGAGAGGAGAAGGATAGAGAAGAAAATAAATCAGGGGGATAAGAAGAGAAAGAGAGCAGGAAGCAATGGGTGAACAGGCATCTGGGCTCCCGTCATCCTGCTGATATGGGAGAGGAGTGTCACCTGATACCCAAAACACAGACTCGGGCTGGAGTAATAGCACAGCAGGTAGGGCGTTTGTCTTGCACGCGGCCGATCCGGGTTCGATTCCCAGCATCCCATATGGTCCCCCGAACACTGCCAGGAGTAATTCCTGAGTGCAGAGCCAGGAGTAACCTCTGTGCATCGCTAGGTGTGACCCAAAAAGCCACAAACAAACAAACAAACAAACAAACAAAAACACAGACTCGACCACACAGAAAACATGAGATCTAGGCCGCACTGGAACTTTGTGATGTGCCTGTCGAGGAGGCAGGATAGGATGGGTCTTGGGGTAGGGAGGGAATCTGGGAACACTTGTGGAGGGAAATTGACACTGGTGGTGGATTGGTATTGAAATATCAGATGCCTAAATCTCAACTATCAACTTTGTAAATCACAGATCTTTATTAAAGCATTTCATTTAAAAAAAATAATATATTTTCAGAAACCTAAACCCTTTTAACAAAGGACTTTTTGTTTTTAGTGTCGTTGCAGGAATGTCATACCCAGGCTACCCTCCCGCTGGCTACCCCCCCTTTCCCGGATATCCTGTAAGTATTGCCACTTGAAGTACTAAAATAGCTCCTGTGCTTGGAACAGGTATTGTGTAGACAAGTCCGTGGATCTTAGAGATCTTAGAGGGATCATTAAATCAAGTGCCTAAGGCCACTGAGTGAAGGTGGGAGTGGTGGGGACCCTGAGAGCACTTGTTACCCCTGCTGGGAGCCCAGGGCTACTCTGCTCCACCCAGTCTGCACAGGCAGGAAGCTGACCCAGTAGTGCTATATACTCTGTTTCTGCAAAGAAAGCCAGAAACCTGGATTTTATGTGAAACTGCCCCAATTTTTTAAGCTGAAAATTAATTTTTCAAGTGGCTAATGCAGATGTGAACCAATAAAACATATATATAAGCTAAATCCGTCCTATGGGTGTCTAGTTTTTAACCTTTGCATTACAATTAAATAAGAAGGGTTGAATTAGAGATAACAAAATGCAGTGGGCCTTGGGTCTGGAAAGAGTATAGCATTTGCTTTGCATGCACCCAATCAAGATTTGATCCCCAGCATACCATACGGTCCCACTCTGCCAAGAGTGATTCCTGAATGCAGAGAAAGGAGTAATCTCTGAGCATCCCCAAGTGTGACACCTCGCTCCCGCAATAAAAAATTTGCAGTGGGCCAGAGAACCATTGTTTTTGTAGTTCTGATAATTTTATATGTGGAGAACATTTTATAAATGTTTTATTTTATTTATTTTTTGGCATTTTGGGTCACACCTGGCAATGTGTAGAAATTACTCCTAGCTCTGCACTCAGGAATTACTTCTGACAGTGCTCAGGGGACCATATGGGATGCCAGGGATTGAATACGGGTCGGCTGCATGCAAGGCAAATGCCCTACCCACTGTACTACATCATTCCAGCCCCTATAAACAGTTTTATAAGTGGGGCCAGAGCCATAGTATAGCAAATAGGGTGTATTGCATGTGACCAACCGGGGTTTGATCCTCAGCATCCCATATGATTCCCTGAGCACTGCCAGGAGGAATTCCTGAGTGCAGAGCCAGAAATAACACCTGAGCATTGCCAGGTGTGGCCCAAAGACTAAGAAAAAAATGTTTTGTAAGTACAACCAGGCTCTGCTTTGCTGACACTACATGAAGCGTACATGAGAATTGGGCATTTCTGTTTCATACATGTAAATTTATAGGGCGTCTTTCCAACTCTGGGAGAATAGAAACAGGGGCTATAGAGATGGATGATCAAGGGAGTGTCCTTATATAAACTGTATCTCATTTGTGAATTTATCATATGAGAGACGAGAATGATGAGTGAGCTCCTGGTCCCCTTGTCCTCTACGAGACTTTGACAGCATTTCAGCCCGTGGAGCTAATCACTGCCCCAGGCCTAATGCCAGCATCCTACGGCTTAAAACATTGAAACCTGGACTGGCAGATAACTCAGGCGTAGAGTGCTTGGGCTTGCATATGCCAGGCCCTGGGTCTAATTCCTGGCACTGAAAAAAAATGATCAGATTAAAACCTCATTTCTTGCTTCCTTCAGTCTCCTGGAAATTGGTTTAGAGTGGGAGAGGGTGGCATGGTGGAAGGAGGTTTTGTTCCCTGGAGTTTCAGGTTCTCTGCCCCACCTGCCATGGCTTGGCACCCTTGAATTCCTCAGAGTCCTCCCCTGGTCCTCAGCTCCAGCAGAGAAATAGGCAGGGGGAGAGAGAGAGAGGAAGGGGCAGACCACACTGGGCCAGAGGGGTTTACGCTGGAAGTGGTGTCCATTCGATCATTGGCTTCCCGTCCGCATCATTGGGAGAGGGCGCTGGTCTCTGAACTAGGGTCTCGCTATTGGCTGCGGAAGGAAAAATGTCAATAGTGTGAAATTCCCTATCGTGATCTCTGTCACTCGGGCATGATCTGGTCTGCACGGCAGTGCAAGTTTCACACCCAAGGGTGTGACTCAGGCTGCTTTTATTTTCTGTTATGCAAGAGGCCCGGGTTTGTTGCAATAGAGTCCTGAGTTGTTCTCTTTAAGATGGAGGATCTTCCTCCTACAGAAATATGAGCAATAAACAGAGAACTAGAGAAACAGAAACACCTTCCTCTGGCTGACAGTTAAACTTACCTGAGTTCAGACAGACAGGTGTCCCGACAAACTGGTATGTTGCTAGACTAGCATAGGCACTGACTCCCAAAGGGACCATTGTTTGTTTGTTTGCTTGGCTTCTTTCCCCCCTTGAGCCATGCCCAGCAGTGCTCAGGGTTTACCCGTGGCTCTGCATTCAGCGATCACTCCTGGTGGGGCTCAGAGGACCATATGGGATGCCAAGGATGGGACCTGGGGAGGCTGTGTGCAAGACAAACACCCTCCCTGCGGTGCTGTCGCTCTGGGTCCTCATGGTCCTTTAATCTGTGAAAGTCAAGCTAGATCTCGACAGGCTCTTCCCTCAGCTGAGTCCTCTTTGTCTACAGTCGCGTTTATTTGAAAATGTTCCTGTTTTTTCAGCCTACAGGTCAGGAGTCCTCTTTCCCGCCTCCTGGCCAGTATCCTTACCCCAGCGGCTTTCCTCCCATGGGAGGGGGTGCCTACCCCCCAGCACCAAGTAGTGGCTATCCTGGCCCTGGAGGTTATCCGGCCCCCGGAAGCTACCCTGGTGCCCCACAGCCAGGGGGCGCTCCAGCCTATCCTGGAGGTGAGTTTCGGGCTCTGCACACTGGGACAGTGGGTTGCCAGAGCACTTTGCTTTCTCCCTCCTCATTCTCTATGACTTAGATCGACTCTGAGCTTACTTTTCACCATAGCTTGCCAAGAGAAGGAGGGAAGGTTTCAGGGGACATGAAAGTGGAAAAAGTCTCTAAGTTTCTACTGGAATTGGAATACGTCTCCTGGTAGTACAAAATCAGTGTGTACCAGTGAGATTGATTATTTGTCCTCGTAAGAACTGATTAAGGCCCTTCCATTAGTATGACTGCAATCTTTAGTATAGTATTGTCCAAAGCTTTTAAAAAAGTTAGAGGTTGTTCTTCTGAATTGTTAGTGAGGAAAATGAATGAAGTAAAGAAATTTTGTGCGTGTATGGTTTTTTTGTTTTGGGGTCACACCTGGCTGTTGGGGCCACACCTGACTGTGTTCAGGGACAACTCCTGTCTCTGTGCCCAGGATGGCTCTTAGCAGAGACTGGGGAATCACACAGGGTGCGGGGGATCAAACTTGGGTCTGCCATGTGCAAGGCAAGCACCTTACCAGCTATGCCATTACTTCCATCTTCTTTTTTTTGTAAGGGGAGGGGCTACATCCAGCTGTGCTCAGGGGTTACATCTGGCTCTGTGCTCAGGGATCCCTTCTGTGCACAGGGGACCATGCGGGGTGCCAGGGATCAAACCTGGGTGAATGCATTCAAAGCAATCACTTTCCCCACTGCCCTCTCTCTTTGGCCCCTGTTTTGGGTTTTTCTTTTCTTTTCTTTTTTTTTAAGTAAAACATTTTAATTTATATTTTCAAGGAGGAGGAGCTGGTGAGAAAGTTATCTAAGAGGGAAAAGAGCTGTTGTCATAGCATTCCTAGCATACTTCCGCCTTTGTTAGAGTGGATGTCTTTCTAACTCCTTCAATCACAATGACCTTCATCATTTGGACTCTTCAGTTCCCCCAGGCCCGGGATTTGGAGCGCCTCCTGGAGGAGCCGGCTTCCCAGGCTACCCGCAGCCGCCTGCACAGGCCTATGGAGGCCCAGCGCAGGTCCCACTGCCCGGTAGGTATCCCTTTTCTGGGGGGAAGAAGAACTTGTTATTTTGAACTTTCTGATTCCATAGAGAGTTTTACTTTTGTGTGGGTAAATGCCTCAGCAGGGATTTACCTGGAAGAATAAGAAAAGTCAATAAGAATAATAAAATAAGAAAAGTCTTTCAATAAGAAAAGAAATATGAAAAAGTTTTCAATAAGAAAAGTCTTTTTCTAGGGGCTGGAGCAATAGCACAGCGGGTAGGGCGTTTGCCTTGCACGCGGCCAACCCATGTTCGATTCCCAGCATCCCATATGGTCCCCTGAGCACCGCCAGGAGTAATTACTGAGTGAAAAAGCCAGGAGTAACTCCTGTGCATCGCCAGGTGTGACCCAAAAAGAAAAAAAAAAAAGTCTTTTTCTTACTTTTCAATAAAAGTCTTTTTCTTTTCAATAAGAAAAGTCTTTTTCTTACTTTTCAATGAGAAAAGTCTTTTTCTTACTTTTCAATAAGAAAAGTCTTCAGGAAATGCTTCTCTAACTATAAATATAGTTTCATCATGCATTCATATTGATGGAAAAGTTTAATACTAAGAGATAAAGATTCTCTTTTTTTCAATTAAGAAAAAAAAATTCTGTCCCTACGTTAAAAAGCGAAGTCTTCAGAAACTTCTCTGCCCTCTCACCACAAATGAAACTATCAGAGCAGTGTTCCTGCATGCTTTCCATGCACAGGGCTTAGTATGGTTGAGGAGTCTGGGATGTGGCTCAGGTAGTGGAGAGAGCTCAGGTCCTGCCTGGCTGAGCGCCTTGGGTTCTGGCTCTGGCTCTGTGGTGCCTCCCATCTGCACCCTGCATTGCCAGCGTGGCCCCACATCAGTTCTTTGAAATGTGTAATTTTTGGAGCCAGAGAGAGAGTATACAGCAGGTAAGGCGCTTGCTTGACTTACCCCAGGGTCCCCTGAGCCTGCCAGCAGTGATCCCTGAGTTCAGAGCCAGGATAAGTCTGGCGGGGTATGCACCCCACCTCAAAAAACAAAACAAAACAAAACAAAAAACCCAAGTTATTATTTCTTAGGATAACTACTTTCCCCCTGTTTTAGTCACACTTGGTGGTGCTCAGGGACTAGTTGTGCTTGACAGGGTGTGTGGTGCTGGGGATTGAATGTGTGCCTTCCACTAGCAAAACATGAGCCCCAGGCCTCTGAATCATTTCCCTGGCCCCTTGTTAGGAAGTAATTTAGAATAAGACATGGAATAATTTTATTGGTTCTTTAGTGCCAAGTTAGTTTTAGATTGAGTATATAATATTATTTAAAATTTATTATAGTTTCAGAATGAGCTCTCTCATATGTGAGATATGAAAAAGCACAAATGACCAAAGGCAACTGGTAAACTGAGTTTATACATGGTGGGTGGTGGTCTTTAGTGAGGGACACTGGGACAATGAGCGAGGGAAGCGGACACTTTGGTGGAGAGTGGTGTTGGAATGTTCTATGCACAAAACGCTCTCATTAACAGTATTATAAATCACTGTGCCTCAAAAGATTGAAAATCAGTAATAAAAATATGCTAACATAATTATGTTAGTATGGCCAGAAAGAGATCAGTGGGGTGTGTGCTTGCTCAGGGCCCTGAGTTTAACTCCCAGCACCTCGTGGCTCCTCCAACATCATGGGGTGCAGCTCTGGTAGTCCCCAATGCTGCTGGTGAGACCCACTCTCCCAGTTGTTCCAGGAAATAGCAGTGTTGATGAAATACTATATATGAAATAAATCTGATTATGTAAAATTTGATCGTGTAAGTCCTGCGGCTTTATTTTTATTTTTTCAAAATGTAGGTGGCTATCCTGGAGGACAGATGCCTTCTCAGTATCCTGGAGGACAAGCTCCTTACCCTAGTCAGGTATTTTGCTCCTACTTTTCAAATTTTAGTTTGAGTAGCTGGGTAATACTCCCAAAGGCACCTCTACTTGCTGCCAATAGACGTTTCCCCAGAGCAGAGAGGTGGTCAGTAGCGGTCTCTGCCTTACCCCGCTCGGCCTTCTTCTGTGTCAGGGGGTGTGGACAGCGGGCGTGGGTCCCTGCTCACGGTCAGTAGTGCGGCTCTCTAAGAGTCTCGTGGGCTCTAGGCCTTGGCTTTAGTTCTTTTTCCTCCTCCCTTCTGGCAGCTAGAACTGAACGTGGGTGCCTGGGTGATTGATCGGTATTGCTGACTGCTCTGTGATAATGTGGTTTTATTTTCCAGTTTTACCGTCCTAACTCTCCACTCTCCTTTCAGATCGATACAGAATCCTTTTCTTCCTATCCTGCTTTTTCTCCTGTTTCTTTGGATTATAGCAGTGACGTGAGTAAGGGTTCTGCTGCTCATCAGTCTCTGACTCCGCTTGCCTCTCAGCACCTCCTCACATACCGCTTTCCTCTTTAGGCCCCTGTTGTGGTTGACAAGGGCTTTAAATATGGTCATCAATGTCTGGCCATTTCTATTCTGCTAATCTCTTGCAATAATAAATGTTTGCTAGGATTTCTCCTGTGTATAAACCTGTGCACCATCTCAGTATAGCTTTTTATTTTATTTTATATTTAATGCTCTTGTGTATCAAATCTTTGCTCCGTCTCAGTGTAGTTTCTTATCTTATTTTAATTTAATATTTTTTGTGCCCGGGATCAAAACCAGGGCCTCATACAGTAAAACTGAGCTATACTCTCACCTCTTAGTTCCTCATTTTAATACTCTTTTATTCTTTTTTATGTTTGTCATGTGTTTTGGTTTTGGCCACATCCAGCTGTGCTTAGGACTTACTCCTGGCTCTGTGCTCAGGGACATTTATGGCAGACTCGGGCAACCATATATGGTGCCGAGGATTGAACTGGGTCAGCCACAAGAAAGCACCTTACCCCTGTACTACCTTTCCAGCCCTGTTGTATTATTCTTTAATCAACTTATTATTTGATGTATTACGCAAGTTACTAGGAACATAAGCAGTATACCTGCATACTTACCTTTATCTTGAGGTTTTTATTCTTTCCAGAGTATTTATTTTTTAAAAATTTGGTATTTTCAAGTGATTTTTAGTCAGGGGTATGAAAGGGATTAAAATATTGGAATACAAGAACCTTAGTCAGTTTTGACTTTCCTTATTTGAGGAATTTGAATATCAGAGAGATGAAGAGACTTGTGGGGCTGGAGCGAACGTTTGGTAGGGCCTTGAACGCAGCTGACTTGGGTTCGATTCCCAGCATCCCATATGGTCCCCCAAGCACCTCCAGGAGTGATTCCTGAGTGCATATCCAGGAGTAACCCCTGAGCATCGCCGGGTGTGACCCAAAAAGCAAAGAAAATAAAAGAGACTTGTTCATGCCTATTCATATCACCCAGTGAGAGAGCACGTGCATCACATGTATGTCCGGGATTTGGTTTCTGGTACCACAGCCCCACCACAGACACACAGATACAGGCGCACACACATACACAGACTTGTCAGGGCATATGGAGTATGACAGTTAAGCTGAGGCTAGATCCTGGCTCCACTGCCCCCAGTTCAGTGCTCCACATCCCATAGTGCTTCTCTGCAGGTTTAATCAGTGACTGTCTTCCAGAGCATGTAGTTAGTTGCTTCTAACCCTTTTCTTTGATTGCTGAAGTTGTTCATTACTGATAAATCTTAGAAGGATTTTCTTTTACGGTGTGAGAGCTGGAGCCCAGGGCCTCCCACCTGACAGGCATGGAGCCACTTTTCTGGCTGAAAATTTTTATTTTTATGCATCAAGTAATTATAAAGACATTTTACACTTAAATACAATTTTTTTGTTTTAGGGCCACACCTGGTGGTGCTCAGGGTTAATTCCTAAGCCTGCACTCAGGAGCACTCCTCAGGGGCTCTGGGAACCACATGGGGACATTGGCGATCAAACCTGGGTTGGCCATGTACAAGGCAAATGCCTTACCCACTATACTATCTTTCTAGCCCCAAATAAATATAAAATATTTTTAAACACTAAATATAGAAGGTCAAAAACACCTTATTTGTTTGAGGCAGAGCTCCAGTTAACAGTGGGAAGTTAACAGACTGATAGATTTTGGTGTGTTTTGTTGTTATTGTTTTTTTTTTCTGGGCCACACCTGGCAATGCTCAGGGCTTACTCCTGGCACTGCTCTCAGGAATTACTCTTTGGTGGTGCTCTGGGGACCAGATGAGATGTTGGGAATCAAACCTGGGTCGGGCATGTGCAAGGCAACCCCCTATCTGCTGCACTATATTGCTTCAGCCCCAAAGTGGTAGGTTTTAGAAGAACATCTAGTGTAAGCAGAAGGCTGTCTTCCAAAATGTGTGTCCTTACCCTGAGTGTTCTCTTAGAGGGAGGTGTGTGTGTGTGTGTGTGTGTGTGTGTGTGTGTGTGTGTGTAAAAATGAAGGAGATTTTTATCTTTTTTTAAATTTTAACTTTTTGAAATCTATCTCTGACTTTTATTATTACCCCTATCTGAGTTTTCTTTTCTTTTTTTTTTCACATTTATTTATTTATTGAATCACTGTGGGAAAAGTTACAAAGCTTTCAGGTTTAAGTCTCAGTCATGCAACCATCAAACACATTTCCCCTCACCATTATTTATTTTTCACCACCAAGAACCCCAGTATACCCCCCCAACCCTCCCCATGCCTGTGAGGCAGATGAATTCTAGTTAACACTCTATCTACTTTGATTAGATTCATTGTTTCGACAAAAGATGCACCATTATTATTTAGAGTTTACACCCCAAGAGATTTTTATCTTGAGTGGATAATTGAACGAAGTGACCTTTCCTGATGAATCCAACTCTAATTCTGTGGCAATTTTTCTTTAGGAAGATTGGCATCAAATGGAACTCTTATTTATTTATTTTGGGGCTATACAAACTTGGTGAATCTCAGAGGGCTGTTCCCAATGTGGTGTTCAGGAAACACTACTGAGGTAATCAGGAGTCTAAATAGTGGCAGAGATCAAACCTGGGGCTCCCACAGGCAAAGCACAAGCAATCCGCACAAAGGGCAGAACTTTTATTAGCAGACAGCATGAGCTTTTGCTGAATGTGTGCTGAGAAATTTCCTCCAGAGTTTTTGGTTGGTTTGTTTTGGGGGGCCACACCTGGCTGTGCACAGTGCTGACTCCTGACTTTGTGCACAGCGATCACTCCTGGCAGTGCTCAGGAGACCATATCTGGTACCATGTATCAAACCCAGGTTGACTTCATGCACGGCAAGTGCCTTTCCAATATACTGTCTTTCCAGCCTCTCCGCAATAGCTTTGCTCTCGAAAACACAGGTTAGGGGCGTAAGAGCTAACGTTGGGATTAAGGCACTTGCCTTGCACAGAGCCACACCTGGTTCAGTTCCTGGCACTGTATATGGTGCCCTGAGCTCCCCAGTAGTGAGCCCTGAGCACAGAGCCAGCACAGAGCCCCTAGCACTCCCAGGTATGGCACAGACCCCTATCCCAAACACCCCTGCAAAGCAAAAGACAAAAAAAAACACAAAACCCCAAAAACCATAGATCTGGAATAGGTAGGACCAAGATGGTAGAGGCAAGACCATTTGAGATCATGCCTGTATGTACACACAATGAAATATGTAAGAAAAGATGAAATTCTGAATTTTATTGAAACTTAAATGAGAGCTGTAGCATGTCATTTAAAGTGAAGTGAGTCTGAAGGAGGACAATACAATATGATCTCAGTCTTATGTGGGGTTTAGATAAATGAAGTAAGGGAAGAAACAGTGGTTGGTGAGATTCTGCCAAATGGTATGGAGGAGAGGTGGTGGCAGACAGGAAGGGACCTGGCGACAGTGGTGAAGAGTAGGTGGTACAGTAACTTTGTATGACTAGAATATTACTATGGATACTATTGTAAATCATACCTCAGTTAAATTTATCAACAACAACAAAAATAACACAGTCGCTATTTTCTGGGAATTCAATATAGTGCCTGACAGATGATAATGCTAAGTAGAGAAAATTCACTTAAGACTTTCAATAATAAATCAAATTTTTTTTTCTGATTTTTTGGGTCACACTCAGCAGTGTTCTGAATTTACTCCTGACTCTGTCCTCAGGGGTACACATGTCTGCTTAGGGAACCATATGTGGTGTTGAACCAGGGTCAGCCTTGTCCCTCCTAGCTCTTTGGCCCTGAAATTTAACTTTTAATTTTGATATAATTTTTTTAAGTTGTAAGAATTCCATATGAAGGGCCTGAGCAATAGTAGAGCAGGTAAAAAAAATTAGTCTTTGAGAGTAGTGAGAGTAAAATAAAAATGATTACACTAAACCCAGTACAAATTGTTGAAAATATTAAGCATGTTCTAATTGGGGTTCTAAATATAACCTGGATTGCTTTTTGGCTTAAAGTATTTGTTGTAAAGAATGAAGTATGGTGATAATGTTGCATTTCCACTTTGTCGTACTGGATTGGCTTTATTCTGAATATATTCAATAATGACTTAGGTATCTGGCTGTTAATACTTCAGGTTGCCATTTTTTTAATTGCCGTGAGTCAGATATCTCATCTGTACAGTTGCCATGTAATGGCTGACTTTTAATTTCTGTATTTCTTTGCTGCTGCCCATCTGTACGTAGCCACTAGAAAACAAAATATGGCCATACTTTGGCCTCTAGGAATGTTTGTGTTAAAAGTGAAAGATTTTAAGTTTGGTGAAAGCATCAGATTGGAATAATGCCACCAACAACTGAGTGGAAATTGCCCCTTTCAAAAGTGCCATTCTTATAAGTCAGGAGTTTGGTCTTAGAACATTTGAAATAAAGACATAGTAACCTTATGAAGAAGAACATTATAAAGGATAATATTGTGAATGGGGTGATACTGTTTAATGAAGAACTTTGATAAAGTTTTCTTGCACAGGCAAAATGTATTAACTAGGTTTCTACATAGTGATCTGCTATTACTTTGTAACCTAGTCCTCAAAAGACTTTTTTTTTTAAATAAAGTCCATCATTACACATAAAAAAATTAGTCCTGGGATTCCTATATAACATTTACACAGATTTCCCAAATATTAACCTCTTGTATAAGCATAATATGTATAAATAATTTATCAAAATCATGAAATAACACTGATATACTATTACCCAATCTAAGAACTTGCTTCAATTTTTTTAGAGTCCTGGCAATGTCCTTTTTTGCTTCAGTATCAAAAACTGAGATAAACATTGCATTTAGAGCCTATCTCTAAAAGCTCCTTAATATTAATTCCTTAGTATTAATCCCTTAGTCTTTGTTGTTTCCCCCTGACCCTTTTGAAAAGTCTGGCCAGTATTTTTGCAGAATTTTTGTTAGTTTGGCTTTGTCTCATATTTCCTCGTGACTAAGTCAAAGGGAATGCCATGTTGGCAGGAATACCAGAATGATGCTGCGTCTGCAGTTCCAGAGGCATAGCCTGGTGACTTATTCCATTATTGCTGATTGAATTGAATTATCTGTTTGAGATGGATTCTGTAGGTTTTCTGCTGAAACACTGAAAACTGCAGATATCTTGGTTCTCCTCATACCTTTGCTCGCTAGTTTTTGCCCCCATTGATGACTCTTGTTCCAGAGCTTACTGTGGTTATCCGTCTGTCATATGGTAGTTTCATTCCTCAAAGATTTAAACTACAACTTTAAAGTTATGGTTTCTGTTTTGCTTTCCAGTTTATTTCCTGATGAAATACGTGAAGAACATTGCATCCCCTGGGTTCTCTAATAAGTTCCGTTTTGTGCTTTTTCTTCTTATACAATGTTTTATATTATGCTTCCTAATTAGGGGCTGTGGAGGAAATGAAGAGATAATGCCAAAATTATATTGTTTGTGCAAATTATAACCTTGTTAGGCAACTATGTTCTGCGTTGAAACATTGCCCAAACTACTTTAGAACATAATGGCATTTACAGATGCATTTTCTTCGCTCCCTATCCAGGGCAGGCCCTTTTCCCTCTGCTATTGTCCCAAGAAGGAGCCAAGGCATAGACAGAACATGACTAGCTTTAGAGGCTTGACTTTCTTGTCTTCTGAAAGTTTGGTGTCTGGTTGGGTCTTTCCTCCTGTTCCAGAATGAGCCTGATAATCAAAAGCTCATACCCTTGTCCTGGAATCCAAGCACCTATCTTCTTGCCTAAGAATAATAACAGGCGAAGCCTTAAGTTGTCAGAAGAGAATCCTGATTTGGTCATTTTTAGGGGAGTGGTGTGTGTGTGTGTGTGTGCGTGTATGTGTGTGTTGTGGGGGTTTGCTGGGGGACATCACTCCTGATGGTGCTTAGGGACTTCTGACTTGGTGCTAGGGGTTACTCCTAGTGAATATCACGGGACCATTTGGTGTCAAGGATGGAAACCAGTGGTCCCCAATGTAATGTATGTGCTCCTAGCTATCTATTAGGCCCAGGAATTTTCTATATTTTTACTGTGTAATTCTTTCATTAAGAAGTTAAACATTTGGGGCTGGAGCGATAGCACAGTGGGTAGGGCATTTGCCTTGTACGTGGCTGACCCAGGTTCGATTCCCAGCATCCCATATGGTCTCCTGAGCACTGCCAGTGTTAATTCCTGAGTGCAGAGTCATGAGTAACCCCTGTGCACCGCCGGGTATGACTCAAAAAGAAAAAAAAAAGAAGTTAAACATTTGAAGAAATTATGGTCATCTACCCAGTGGAATACTATGCAGCTATTAGAAAAGATGAAGTCATGACATTTGCTTATAAGTGGATGGACATGGAGAGCATCATGCTAAGTGAAATGAGTCAGAAAGAGAGGGACAAAATAGAATGACTGCACTCATTTGTGGAATATAAAATAACATGAGAATGACACCCAAAAACAGTAGAGACAAGGTCCAGGAAGATTGCTCCATAGTTGGAAGCCTGCCTCAAGGGCTGGGGGAGAAGGCAGCTAGAATAGAGAAGGAATCACTAAGTCAGTGATGGCTGGAGGATGGGAGATCCTGAAAGTAGATAAAGGACCAAACATGATGGCCTCTCCGTATCTGTATTGCAAAAACCACAATGTCCAAAAGTAGAGAGAGAAAGAGTAAGAAGGAAATTGTCTGCCATAGAGGCAGGGGCAGGGGTAGGGGTGGGGTGGCAGGAGGGATACTGAGGACATTGGTGGTAGAAAATGTACACTGTGGAGGATATGTGTTCAGTCATTGTTCAATCATTGTTATGACTAAACTCAATCATGAAAGCTTTGTAGTTATATCTCACAATGTTCAATAAAAAAATTGCTCGAGGTAAAGGCCCTCCCGTTGATCGTTGATTTGCTCGAGCGGGCCCAGTAACATCTCCATTGGAGACTTTGTTGTTACTGTGTCTGGCATATCGAATACTCTCGGTAGCTTGCCGGGCTCTCCGAGAGGGGCGGAGGAATCGAACTCGGGTCGGCCATGTTGGCCGTTTGTAAGGTGAACACCCTACCTCTGTGCTATCACTCCAGCCATTAAACACTTCATATATTTTTCCAGTTTATTTTGATGTAGACAAAAGCCCCAACTCTTGATACAATCCTAGAATTTAAATTGGTTAGATAACAAAGCTCTAAATATTAAAATCAATAAACATTTTAAAAGTCCATTTTTTATGTGAACATTGTCCTATCTCATCACAGGGTTAAGTCCTTGTCTAAGATTTTCCTAAGCTGTTAGATATTTCTTTTACTTTTCCCATTTTATTAAGATATCATTGAATATTGTATTAGTTTTAGATATGTAGTATGGTTTGGGGCTGGAGCAATAGCACAGCGGGTAGGGCGTTTGCCTTGCACATGGCCAACCCGGGTTCGATTCCTCTGCCCCTCTCAGAGAGCCCGGCAAGCTACCGAGAGTATCCCGCCCGCACGTTAAAGCCTGGCAAGCTACCCATGATGTACCCGATATGCCAAACACAATAACAACAAGTCTCACAATGGAGACATTACTGGTGCCCATTCGAGCAAATCGGTGAACAACGGGAGGAGAGTGCTACAGTGCAGTATGATTTGAAAAATGCATATCAAAATGAATGTCTGCATAACTGACTTGGATTTTTTGCCCCTGGTGCTTAGCCTGCCATGATGACTCAGGGAACTCAAGGAACAATTCGACCAGCCGCCAACTTTGATGCCATGAGAGATGCTGAAATTCTTCGTAAAGCAATGAAGGGTTTTGGTAAGGAACACAGATCGTTATCTTATTTATAGTAAACTCCAGTGACTGAATCCAAAGTCAAAGTACACTGTGTCTATGAACATCGAGCCTCTGTTTCTGCTTGTATGCACTTGCCTTCATTTATTTGGCCGCCGGTATCTGACAAGCATCTAAGGAAGCATCAGCGCTGACTTTGATCTTACTGGTTCTTCCAGGGACCGACGAGCAGGCAATTGTGGACGTTGTATCCAGCCGTTCCAATGACCAAAGGCAAAAAATTAAAGCAGCTTTTAAGACCATGTATGGAAAGGTACTTTTGTTTGTTTGTTTGTTTGTTTGTTTGCTTTTGGGGACTGAGAGTAAACAGTGGTCTGTAGACCCAGAACTCAGGTCAGGTTGGATCCAGTCTTTATATTTGCACTTGTGGTGGGTAGCAGAGACAGCCAGACTTAAGAGACTCGGGAGAGTTGTCTTCACTGTGAATTCACTTAGAAACTTTTTCAGTTTGGGACCCAGAGACATAGTACAGCAGGTAAAGTGCCTGCCCTCAGGCGGCAAACCCAGGTTCAATTCCCTGCACTACCTATGGTCCTCCAGCTCTCTGGGAGTGATCCATGGTCACAGAGCCAGGAGTAAGCTCTCAGCACTGCTGGCTGTGCTAAAAAGGAAAATCTATTGATAGAATTAATAAAATATATTTGCTTGAGTGTAATGAGGTTTTATCTTTGTTTGGTTGGTTTATGCGCCTCCCCTCCCCCTGCAGTGCTCAGAGATCACTCCCGGTAGGCTCAGGAACCTATGGGGTGCCAGGGATCAAACTAGGGTTGTCTGCATGCAAGGGAAGCTCCCTACTTGTATAACTATTGCTCGGCCCTAGGTGTAATGAGGTTTTTTTTTTCAAGTTAAGATTTTTATTTTTTTTAATCTTTTAATTTTTATTAGTGAAACACCCTGAGGTACAGTTGTAGACTTACAGATTTTTGTGCTTGGGTTTCAGTTATATAATGACTGTGTACCCATCCCTTCACCGGTGCCCATTCCCTACCTCCAATGCTCCTAGCATCCCTCCCACCCCACCCCCACCCACAGGTGTAATGAGTTTTAATTGTATATATCTACTTCTTAGTAGATATATACATTTCTACTAAGTATAGTATAGTTGGATTTGACATTGAATTTCATTAATCAATTTAATTCATTTTTACATGTTTTTCTTTTTAAAATGTAAGCAAAAGTTTTGGAGGGTATATAAAGTTACTTTTTATTTTTAATTAAACAGGATTTAATCAAAGATCTCAAATCAGAGTTAAGCGGAAATATGGAAGAACTGATCCTTGCCCTGTTCATGCCACTCACGTATTACGATGCTTGGAGTTTACGGAACGCAATGAAGGTACTAGATACTTTCACTTTGAATATTTTATTCTTTTTCAAGTGTAAAAAGTACCACAATTTATGGCAGTTCTGACTTTGCAGTGACAGCTAAAACAGTTGTCATCTGAAAATGTAGAGCTTTTTAAGGTTGGAGGCCAAAGAAATGGTTACTGGAGCAGTAAGGTTTAATTTTTGTTAAAGGTTTTGTTTTTCTAATTCTCCATTTCTTCTTATACAGGGAGCAGGAACTCAGGAAAGGGTGTTGATTGAAATTTTGTGCACAAGAACAAATCAGGAAATCCGAGAAATTGTCAGATGTTACCAATCAGAATTTGGACGAGACCTTGAGAAGGATATTAGATCAGATACCTCAGGACACTTTGAACGGCTCCTTGTATCCATGTGCCAGGTGAGTATACTAGGAATGGGAATGTTTGTGTGGAGGTGGAGGACCCCTCTTTACATCCAATGCCAGGAAATGATCTTAATTCCTTTCAATGTTTAATTCCCTTGAAATCTTACCATCATCAAAAGGAACAATACAGTTCAATATAGAACATTTTGTACAGTCTCTATTAAGATTTATTTCTGCCCATCTGGATTTTGTAAGAAGTCATAAATTATCATTTTTATGACCAGAGAGGTAGTACAGGGGTTAAGGAACTCATCTTATATTTGGCCAATTCCAGTTCCATCCCTGGCATCCCACATGGTCCCCTGAGCACTGCTGGGTGTGGCCCCCCACTCAAAAAAGAAAGGAAAGGAAGGAAGAAAGGAAGGAAGGAAGGAAGGAAGGAAGGAAGGAAGGAAGGAAGGAAATTAACTTCTGATCAGGGAGACAGCTCACAGATCTGGACCATGCACTGGGTGCTGGGTTTGATCCTGGCACCAAATAGTTTTCCTGGTACCACTAGGTGTAGCCTTGGTGTTCCCCAGCCCTCTTACGGAGGTACAGACAAAACAGAAAACAAAAATGAAACAGCCTCTCTAAGCTTGTATGAAGTATGAAATTAACTTGAGGCTCTTTGTCTCGGGATGCCTGAGTAAGTACTTGTAAACCTAGCCTTATGCTGCCATTTCAGCTGGACCGTCCACTGAAGATACTGTGGACAACATGGGAGTGGCATAGGCAGTGAGAACTGTGTGAGGAGCACCAGGAACACAGACCGTGTTCCCTCCCTCACAGTGATACCATGATCAGCACACACCTTATTTGAAGTCCCGCGTGGACATTAGAATTTCAGCAGATGGCAGGAGTTCTCTGCTCTCCTGCTCATGTCCACAGGTTGAAACTTCTGAACTTTGAGAAGTTTTGCGGAGCAAAGGGTGGCGATTGCCAAGGATAGTGTGTGAAAGTGAGTGGATGGGGAGTGGAGAAAACAAGCCCGTGGGTGCAAGGAAGTTGTACTGACAACAGAGTAACAGAGTAGGGGAGTAAGTTTGTATCTGGGGAAAAGAGATGGGGGTGGTTCTGGAGATAAGGTGCTGGTCTTGCATGTGGCTGACCCAGTTTGATCCCTGGTACCACATATTCCCCCATCCCGGCGTTGCCATCGCTGAGTACAGCTTTGGAGGTCCCAAGTCCCCCCCCCCCCCCGAATAAATAACTATCAATAACAAGAAAGTGAAAAGCAGGGCTGGGGGCTGGGAGGGTGGCATAAAGGACTGAGGGCATCTTTATATGCAGGAGACCTGGTGTGGTCCCACTGCCCTGAGGGATCACTCCTGGAGGGCTGAGGGACCATATGGGGTGCCAGAGATTAAACCCTCGGCCATGTGCAAGGCAAGTGCCTCACCCACTCTCCTATTGCTCTGGCCCCAACATTGGAATCTCCTGTGTTAGGGCAAGTGTGTGTGATCTCTGACACATGCAGCCAAGCGTGCAGCCCCCACAACCACCACAACGACGGAACCCACATAAATGAAAGCAATGGGGACTGGAGCGATCTTACAGCGGGTAGGCAGCTTGCCTTGTACGTGGCCACTGAGCTCAATCCCTGGCAGTTATATATCCCCACAAGCACTTTGGGAGTGATACCTAAGTGCAAAGCCAGGAGTAAACTCTAAGCATTGTCGGATGGGGCCTCAACCCCCAAACCAAACAAAACCCAAAGCAATGATAGCAGCGATGGGGAAGAAGGGGAGAAGGATTGTATGAGATGCATGAGATTAGGATCCCCAGCAACGTTCAGAACCTTCCTGTTTATAAAGTCAAGGAGCCTCTCTTGGGCATGAGTGGAGAAATGGCTCCCTAGGAAAGTGTGACTGTAGTTTTCACTGGAGCGCACACTCAGTGGTCTGGGAACTTCCCCTGAGCACCTTCTCCCGTGCTGTGATTTACAGGGTGCTTTGCTACATCCCCCGCACCCAGCCCTCTTCAGAAGACAGTTTCTCACCCTCACGAAACACTTTTCCATCCTGTTCTTCAACAGACACTAGCTAGAGGTTGCAGACTTTTCCTTCCTTTGATTTTGAGTTTCTAGTTTTGTGGGAAACCAGCTGCCCAGTGACGCTTTACTCAGAGGCCCAGCGCCTGGTCTTAGTCCCCTTTTCCTCTGCTGTGGCCCAGGGAAGCTTGGTGCAGAAACCAAGACTGCAGTTTCTGCATGCATCACTTTCATGCATGAACTCAACAGAATCATTAAAATCACATTTGGGTAAAAAGAAGTTCACTAAACTTTCTCCCTGTACTTAAGTCCCTTGAGTGCAGGGTCTTATCTTGTGTCACTACCCCTGGCACTTCTGTTCTTTGTTAAATTCTGACCAATACAGTCTGGCGCAAAGCAAAAGCTTTTTACCAAGTACGTGAATGACTGAAATGTAATTCAGGGTGTTGGAACGATAGTAGAGTGGGTAGAGCTCTTACCATGTGCTGGCTAATCTAGCTTCAATCCCCAGCACCCCAGATGGTCCCTCAGGCTCTACCAGGAGTGATCCCTGAGTACAGAGCCAAGAAAAAGCCCTGAGTACAGCCAGCGGTGGCCCCCAAAACAAGTAAACAGTGTAAGGCATATCAATTTTAAATCCCAGCTAAGGACAATTATAATTTCTTCATTTTATGGTCATTTATATTTTCTAGTTGAAATATTTTTGTTATAGGCATTAATAAATATTAATATTGATTTATAATGTAAAAACTATCTATACAAGCCTTTTCTGATTTAATTTAACTCTAAAAGGCCTGGAAACCTCTTGTTTTATTATAGCCTTATTAAGTATATAATTATTTATGTATAAAATATATAATATATTGTTTATGTTATATTGTAATAAAATATAATAATATAATGTATCTAATAATATATCATTTATTTATATTATTTGTAAGATAAGATCTTGCATTCTCTGAACTCTTATTTCATTTTAGTTTTAGGCTTTAGTTCCGCAGCTCTTCCTAGATAGTACAGATTCTTAAGTTTAAAAGAATTTCAACTGTTAATAACCATTAATGTTCTTCCAATAAGAAACTTAGATTGAGAATTTTTGCTTTCTCTGTAGGCTCAACATTCTGATAAGAAAGAAATCTTTGTTTAGGGGCTGAAGCGATAGCACAGCGGGTTGGGCATTTGCCTTGCACGCAGCTGACCCGGGTTTGATTCCCAGCATCCCATATGGTCGCCTGAGCACCTCCAGCAGTAATTCCTGAGTGCAGAGCCAGGAGTAACCCCTGTGCATCGCCAGGTGTGACCCCCCCAAAAAAATATTTGTTTACACCTGGTCTAACAAGTTCCAAAAACACCTAGACCCTTTAAATTGATGGACCGGATTCTTCCACCCCTCTCAAAGAGCCTGGCAAGCTACCGAGAGTATCTCGCCTGCACAGCAAAACCTGGCAAACTACCCATGACGTATTCGATATGCCAAAAACAGTAACAACAAGTCTCACAATGGAGATGTTACTGGTGCCTGCTTGAGCAAATCGATGAACAATAGGAGGACAGTGCTACAGTGCTATATTATTATTTATGCATTATATATTTATAATATTTTATATATTAAAATATAATAAAGTATCAAGTCAGTAGTGTAATAAATTATGTTACACTAGTCCAACTTCTTTGAAAATGAAAGACCTACATGAAAAATTATATATTCAATAAATTGTCCTGTTAAATCCAAGAGAGACCAGATAGGGAAATGGGGAAATGTGTCTTTTTTTCAGTTTAGTTTTGTTTTGGGGGCACACCCTGCAATGCTCAGGGCTTCTTCCTGGCTCTGCGCAGTGGAATTACTCTAGTGATGCTCTGGGGACCAAATGTGATGCTGGGGAATTAAATACTGGTCATCCACATGCAAGTCAAGACACCTATCCACTGTACTATCACACTGGCCCGGAAAATATGTCTTAACGGAACTGGTAGCACTCCTTTGCAATGCCTACCTTCTATTTTTCAGGGAAATCGCGACGAGAACCAGACTGTGAACCATCAGTTGGCTCAAGATGATGCCCAGCGCCTGTATCAGGCCGGGGAGGGGAAACTGGGGACCGACGAATCTTGCTTTAACATGGTTCTTGCCACGAGAAGCTTCCCTCAGCTGAAAGCGACCATGGAGGCCTATCATAGGGTATGAGTTTTTCTTTTGAAGATTTGATTTCTGTTTTCAGAAGTGTAAAAACTGCTATGACCCCTCTTCTTCTTGTTTGCAGATGGCTAATCGAGATTTGTTAAGCAGTATTGGTCGTGAGTTTTCCGGAAATGTGGAAAATGGTTTGAAAGCCATCTGTAAGATATTTTTGTGTTTTGCTTTGTTTTATTTGTAACTGACTGAGGTTTTCCAGAGTTGTTTCCATGGTATATTTTATATATAACAAGATAGCCCCTTTGGATGTGCTGAGGCGGAGACTGAGCTCATCTTATATTTTTATATGTATCTCTCTATGTATGCATGGTGCTATGAGCAAAGTAGGGTTGTTTTAGAGTTATTTGGTCTTTATTCTATACGCCCTTCTTGAGGACATAAAACCCTTGAGAATATACAATCAGGCTTGGGATTGTATATTAAAATAATCTTACAATATACTTAAGTTAAAATATATTTAAAATGATCCCCAGCGTCCCATGTGGTCCCCAGAGCACCCCCAGGGGTGATTCCTGAGTGCAGTACCAGGAGTAAGCCCTGAGCATCGCCAGGTATGGTCCAAATACAAAAACAAAAACAAAAAATTAAATTATTTGAACTTTAGTTTTTAGCTTATTAAAGACATATGTGTGTTTGTGTATATGTGTGTATGTATAAATACATGCGTGTGTATCTTAGAATTCAAATTTTAGTCATTATACCTTTAATTACTGGGACACAATTGCTACAGATTTCTCACTTTAAGAGGGAAAAATGGAAAGAATCTAAGTTGCTGTATCTGTAGTCTGTGGGAGAAAAATGGGACATGTTGGCCAGGGAGTAGAGAATCACACACACACACACACACACACACACACACACACACACACACACACACTCCCTCTGCTTGCAGTGCAGTGTGCCCTCACTTTTACACTCACACACACTCCCTCTGCTTATAGTGCAGTGCACTCTCACACACACACTCCCTCTGTTTGCAGTGCAGTGGGCTCACACACACTCACTCTCCCTCCCTCTGCTTGCAGTGCAGTGCGCCCTCAACCGCTCGGCCTTCTTCGCTGAGCGGCTCTACTGCTCCATGAAAGGTGCGGGCACCGATGACTCCACCCTGGTCAGGATCGTGGTCACAAGGAGTGAGGTGAGACCTTCCCCGCAGGCCCTCTTGTTCGATGTTAAACGTTGCTTGCGAGCGAAAGCCCTACCTCCCCTACCTCTCGTCCCAAAGCTGAGTTTCCAGCGTTACTGGGGAAGAGGAGCAAATCTTAACGTATTCTTTTTGTTCATTACTGGTTTTTTAGCACCTTAGTACCAGATTATGCTATTTCTGCACTTAAAAAAAAAAAACAACAACAACCAACAAACCCTGTGTCTCTATATTTACTTATATAAAGTTTAGAATGTTTTTAAAAAATTGAAACAAACCTATTGCTTGCTCTGTTTTCCCAGCAGTTTTGGGGCATGGGGGCACTGAACCACTCCCTGGCTTAGGTGCCCCGCGGGGTCGATGCTTGTCGGAGCAGGGTGGGGGACCACGCAGTGTCCAGGATGCACCCAGGGCTGCACACAGGCGGAGCGTGGGCTCTGCCACTTGAGCCCTATCCCCGGCTCTGCGTGAGGGCAGCTGCTGTTCCTGCAGGATCACGGGGAGCTTCTTCTCTTCTCTAGAGCAGCGCCTGTTTCTTTTCTTTTCCTGTCACGTGAGAGAACCTTGCCTTAGTCCAACAACAGCCCAGCAGCCTTGATGAAGCCAGCGCTGAGAGTTTTCTTCTTGAGGAGATCTATGGGGGATACCGGTTTAGCATAGTTTAGAAGATCTCTGGGTTTTCTTTTATTTTCTTTCTTTCTTTCTTTTTTTCTTTTTGGGTCACACCTGGCCATGCCTAGGAGTTACTCCTGGCAGTGCTTGAGGGACCATATGTGATGCTGGGAATCGAACCGAGTTGGCCACGTGCAAGGCCCTACCCACTGTACTATCACTCCAGCCTGGGTTTTCATTTTACTTATTAAGAGTCCATATGAAAGACCTCTGCAAAGATATTAATCTTTCGAATATAAAAACTCTTGAAACTTAGGATGCCTTTTTAATTAATGCTTTTAAAGAGTCAGGAGAGCTAGAACAGGGGTTCAGGCAATGCATCTGACCTCAGATACTCAGCACCACGTGGTCCACTGAATGCCACTGGGTATAGTTCGCGAGGCCCACAAGCATGGTCGGGTGATCCCTGGCACTACAGTGCCCAAGCAGTGTGTAACTCACTGAATGGCCAGTGGGTCTGGAGACACCCAGCCACTGAGAGTGGCTCAGGCACTTGGAGGTCCCCTCAAAAATAAAATAATATATATTTTTAAAGTCTCATCTTTATATTCTTAAGTATTGCTTTACATTTTTCTTTTCTTTGACTTTGTATATTTATTGGATTTGTATATGTTTATGCATTTATTTATTGGTTTGGGCGGCCACATCCATGGTGCTCAGGGCTTACTCCTGGCTCTGTGCTCAGTGGATCATATGGGGTGCCAGGGATTGAACCCGGGTCAGTAGTGTGCAAGACAATATTTTTCAAACATTGACTTTTAGTTTGTTTAGTTTAGTTTAGGGGGTGTTTGGGCCACACCCAGAGGTGTGAGGACTTTTTCCTGGCTCTATTCAGTCCTCTCCTAGGGGTCTCCGGGGACCTTGTGCTGTTGGGAGTAAATGAGGGTTCATGGAACGGAAGGCACACACCTTAGCCTCTGTACTGTTCCTCCAGCCCTGGACTACTGGTTCTAATCTCAGGGTCGCTCTCTGATCTCTCTCTCTAAGACTGCTCTGTGTACTTCATATAAGGGGAAATCACACCATATTTTCCTTCAGTGACTTTTTATTTAGCATACGTTGTAGGGTGTTAGAATTTCCTTTTTTAACGGACACAAGTTTCTTCCACCTTTTGGTCAGCGTGAACAAAGCTGCTGTGAACGTGAATATACATATATTTGTTTGAGTTCATGCTTTCACTTTTGTGTCGTTAGCCAAAAGTGGGATTACTGTTATATCAATTATATGGTAATTCTATTTTTTGACATGGCGGCACCATGTTTACATTCCTTGCCAGATTTTCAACGTCCTTGCCAATACATAATTTTCTGTGTTTCTGATACTAGCCATTCTGTCAAGTGGGCGACACCCTGTGGTGCTTGGGGGGTCTGTGCTCACGGGTTGCTCCAGGTGCTAGGATTGAACCCAGGCCTTCTGTATGCAGCGCCTGTGCTCAATCCATTGAGCTATCTCCCTGGCTCTGTTTTTTTGTTTTGTTTTGTTTTTGTTTGGGGGCCACACCTGGCAATGCTCCTGGGCAACTCCTGGTTCTGTGCTTAGGAATTACTCCTGGTGGGTGCTCAGGGGACTGTAATGAGTTGCCAGGGATCGAACCAACTGTGGGCAGCACAAGTGCCTTATCTGCTATTTTTAAATGACTAATTAAAAAAAATAATAGAAGGAACTTCTTCCACTGCTATGTGGTACTTCCACTCAACAGTACTAAATTAAACCTTCATTGGGTGATGATGTCACTGGAATGAATACTGGCTGTAAGATGTTGACCATTTTTTTCTGCTTTGATTCTAATTAGGATGCTTTCACACTATTTTCTTTTTTGCTTTCACACTATTAAAAAATAATTCTAATAGATGCTAGTTCTGTTTGGAAGTTTTTTTCCCTAACATCAAAAATGTCTCTTGCCTACAGATTGATCTTGTACAAATAAAGCAGGTGTTCAATCAGATGTATCAGAAGACTCTCAGCACCATGATTGCAGGTGACACAAGTGGAGATTACCGGAAGCTGCTTCTGGCCATTGTTGGTCAGTAGGAAGATTTTCTTAAAGGAATGAAATCATTCAGTGCTTAACTTTCCAAGCAATGACTTATCTGCATGCAGCAATATCAACCATCATCTAACCAAAAGAGGTTTCGACTAAGGACTGGGTATTTTTCAGGGTATTGTGCTTGATTTGCACATGTGGATATTGCCTTAATCTCAATGCTATTTTTTTCTCTACTTACAGTCAATGGAAAGCCACAGCACGGCAATGTATTAATAATAATAATGTTTGTAAAGCATAATTCTCATTGCTCATTCTAATCGTGATACCAAATTGAATAAAAATCACAATCTAACTGTGTAATAAGCTTGAATTTTTTAATATTAAAATCCTGTCTTCTAGCATCTGCCCAGTCCTTGGGACTCTTAGGTTGTTGTATGTGTAAATTGCATTACTTAAAATCATTAATAATTCTTTTGACCTGGGAGAATAATCTGCATCTTATTTTACATAATTAAACATTCTATATTAAACAATAAGCCTTCCACATAGAAAATTGCTTAATATTCCCTACAGCAGCTTGTTAAAAAGGGAGCTAGATATTTATATGTACAAACTACATAGATCTTGATTAGTCCTTGATTTCAAAAAAATAGGAAAGATTTTTAAATTTGTAGCAATTTAATCATGATTTAAGAAAGTGAAGTTTGACATGTGAGTTGCTCAAGTAATGTGTGAATACGGAGGTTAAAATTCCCCCCCCACCCCCACGGAGAATGGAATACTGGCTATTTAGAGAAAGACTGTAGTTCAGGACAGCAGTGTTACACAGAGTGACATTTTTTATTTTTGCATTTTTGGGTTTGTTTCTTTGTTTCTGGACCACACCCAGCTGTGCCCAGGACTAACTCCTGGTTCTGTGCTCAGGGATCACCCCTGATGGGCTTTGGGGATTGCATGAGGTGCTGGGGAGCAGACTTGTGTCAGCCACATGCAAGGCAAGCAGCTTAGCCCCTGTACTCTTTCCAGCCTCCTGGTGATTTTGAAACACATTTTATCTTCAGTATTGAACCTTAGCAGGCACTTCTCAGTTGTCCTGTCCAGCAATTACTTTGTCTCTATGAATTTGCCTATTTTGGGTTTTTCATATTGGTGAATAACAAAAAAATTCAGCTGAATTCATTTTAAAGATCCTGTTGATTTTATTAATGATTTATGGGTCAAGAATTTATCAAGTAGATGAATGTTCTCCAAACCTACACAAGATCAAAAAGATTTCTAGTCTAAAGGATGGCAAGAGAAGAGAGAATTATTGCAGGCTTAATTAATATCTTATTATTCCATCTTTCTTTGGGGAATGGAAAATATTAATGCTGACCAGAAATTTCATACCAAATAAGAGTATATTCCTGAGGAGGTTGAAACTAGGGTTAGTGTTAAGAATGGGAATACCACAAGGACCTCCATTTTTTTGGTTATTTAGATAATGCTTTTATGATTATTTTTATACTTATTTTTTATGGAGACATGTTTTCAGTTCTTCTGGCTAAGATGAATGACTGGATCATATAGTACCTTTATGTATGTTTGATTTGGGGGCTACACTGGCAGTCCTGGAGAAGCTACTCCCAGGAGTGCTCCAAAGACCATGTGGAGTGAGGATGGAGCCCAGGCCTTCCACATGCAGAACATACGCTGTAGCCCTTTGAATATCTCCCCAGCTCAGACACATTTTTGCTTAAGAACCTACCACATCCTGGGGGGCCAAGGCAATAGCACAGGGGTAGGGCCTTGCATGTGGTTAACCCAGGTTAGATCCCCAGGATCCCATATGGTTCCCTGAACACTGCCAGGAGTAATTCCTGAGCGCTTAGTCATGAGTAACCCCTGAGCATCGCTGGGTGTGACCCAGAAAGTCAAAATAAAAATAATAATATCACTGTATATCACTGTCATCCCGTAATTCATTGATTAGCTTGAGTGGGCATCAGTAATGTCTGCATTTGTCCTAGCCCTGAGATTTTAGCAATCTCTCCTTACTCGTCCTTTCCAACGGTGCCACATTAGAGGCTCTTTCAGGGTCAGGGGAATGAGACACATCATTGTTACTGTTTTTGGCATATCGAATATATCATCGGAGCTTGCCAGGCTCTGCTATGCGGGCAGGATACTCTCGGTAGCTTGCCTGGTTTTCCGAGGAGAACTAGACTATAAGAAGTACGCATATGTGGCTGCACACTTCCGGGAGCTTTGTTTTATAGTCTCTGGATCTTGGCTGTTGATGAAATTTCATGGTGTCGGGGGCAGTTTGTGGGTGTAACTGCCTAGCTACTGGAAAATGGGGAATCAGGGTGGAGGAGGCCCAGTCCCAATCTGAGCAGGCTTGGAGATCTCAGCCTCGGGACCTACACACCTGTATTCCTCTGCCGGTTCCTTCATGTGTGAGGCTCGTCCGAGTGTGTGGAGAGTGGCCTTGAGCATGACTGTGGCTGGGTTCCGGAGGTCTTCGGCTGCCAGGGCTCTGCTTGGGGCGGGGAGGGAAAATCAGCCCACCCCACTCCAAGGGGCCCTGGTGAAGAGAGCCTGGTGCACAGGCAGGGGACAAAAATAATAATAATTAAAATAATAAATAATAATAATATAAAAATCTACCAAATCCTTTCCCAGGGCTAGAGTGATAGCACAATGGGTAAGGTATTTGCCTTGCATGTGGCCAATCTGGGTTCGATCTTGCCACCATATATGGTCCTGAGCCTGCCAGAAGTGCTCCCTAAACCCAGAGCCAGGAGGAAGTTCTGAGCAGGCTAGGTATGACCAAAAAAAAACCAAAATAAACAAGGAGTTAGAACAATATTAGAGTAGGCAGGGCACTTGCGTTGTACATGGCTAACCCAGGTTCAATCCCAAGCACCCTATAAAGTCCCCTGAGCTAACCAGGAGTGATCCCTAATCACAGAGTCTGGAGTAATCCCTGAGCACTTTCAGGTATGCTCCCAAACTAACAAAACAAAATAGTTTTCTAAAAAACACTCACACCATTTTACAATCCTTTTACGGGTGAATTGAACTTGGTCTGTGGTTGTCAAGTGGCTCATTGTCGTGTGTAACTGAAATGATATTGCAGTCCAACATCTGTAGGTTTTGAGTATTATTGAAAATTCACTTGTGTTTACACTACTTTAAGTTCACCACTGAAAGTCCTGTCCCTCATGTGGTTGTTCTCTTTGTCCAAACATTGCCCCACTTCCCTTCTGTAACCACTATTTGCTCTTTGATCCAAATGTTTATATTTTTTTCTTTTATTTAGTCCATCTGCTTGTTTTCTCTGTACACACAGGAGTAAAATTGTACAACATTTGCCTTTCTCCATCTGGCTTGTTACACTAAGCACTAAGGGTCCTCTCTAGGTCCATTCTTGTTGCAAAAGGCAGAACTTCATTTTCTTTTTTCATAGATAACTGAAAGGTATTTCACTGTGTAAAAATGTCCCATTTTCTTTTATCAGTTCCTCAGTGGACAGGTACTTAGGTTTCCAGTGCTTGGCTATTGAGAATATGCTGAAATAATCATGGGAGTGTATATTTCTCTTTGAATTAATGTTAATACACTTTCAGGAAAACCTCTAGTCATTATGGGTTTTGTTGTTGTTGTTATTGTCTTTTTTTAGGACCACCCCCAGTAGAGCTCAGGGCACCCAGTGCCACTCCCTGCAATATTCAGGTGGCAACAAGGCCTTGCTGGTTTGATGCCCAGGCTGGTTCTGCTATGCTGCCTTGTTGCACAGGGGTCACATGGGTCACAGACTGACCACGTGTCAGGGGCATGTGGTGTGAGGGTGAATGCTGAGCATGTTCCCTCAACTTCCTTCTTAACTCCTGGATTTTTTTTTTTTATTTTGTTGGTTTGGGGTGGGGTGAGGGGCTTACTCGGTTCTGTGCTCAGTGGTTATTCCTGGCACAGGACCCAGGCTACTTCCGACCATATGCAGTGCTGTATCAAACGAGGATCCGGAGGGCAAGGCAAGCTCCTGATCCTCTACTGTCTTTCTAGCCCCAGCTCCTGTTACTTTTAATTTGTATTTCTCTGAAGACGAATTTGGAAAATAGTTAAAATACTTTGTCACTTTCTAATTGGCTTATTTGCCTTTGGAGTTGTTGAGCGGCAGAAATTATTTCTATATTCTGGATCGTAGAACTTTGTCAGACAGGATTTCTTTTTATTTTCCCTCTTGAGAAGGTCAGGAAGATGTGGCCATAAACACGGGAGAGGCTCAGGAACATTTCATAAAGTCCCTTCTTTTGTTTTTTCTCTTTTAAAGGACAGTTTTACTGTGGGACCACGCCCGCGTCGGTGCTGAGGGCTTATGTCCTGGATTGAACCCGACATCTCTCCCATGCAAAGCACTTGCTCTAGCCTGGAAGCCGCATTCTCGGCTTCATCGGTGCTTCTGATGAGTCTGGGGGCCGCACCCGGCGGCGCTCAGGGCTCACTCCTGGCCGGGCGGGGGTCCCGAACCCGGGGTCCGCCTCCTGCAGAGCACGCGCCTGCCCGCTGCCCTGTCTCTCCAGCCCTAGCTCTCTAAACACTTTTTTATTCTTTTTGGGTCACACCCGGCGATGCTCAGGGGTTACTCCTGGCTCATGCACTCAGGAATTGCTCCTGGCGGTGCTCAGGGGGCCAGATGGGGGTGCTGGGAATCGAACCTGTGTCGGTCACGTTGGCTGCGTGCAAGGCAAACGCCCAACCCGCTGTGCTATCGCTCCAGCCCCTAACACATTTCTTTTCCTCTCCAACTCTTTACGTATTGCAAGGGGGCGAGAAAGCAAAAGCAACGAGGGAGAAGCAGACCCGCCCACTCCCCCTCGCGGCCTGGACAGCGGCCCTTCCCGCGTCATCGCGAGGCTTGGCGCGGCCAGTGCGCGTTGCGGGCCCAAGTTCCCGCGATATCTCACTGGTTGCCATGGTTGCCTGAAACGCTTCGGTGGCCGCGTCAGGTAGGCGGGCGGGCCTGGGGACCCCGAGTCTCGGCTCCCGGCCCGCGCTGCACCCGCCGCACGTCTCCCGGGCAGCTTCTCATCGAGGCGTCGGCGGCTCAGCCCCGCGCGGCCCCTGCCGGAGCCTGTCGCCCGCCCCGGGACGCGCAGGCACCAGCAAGCATCGGGGGTCCGTCCGCTCTCGGGGCCAGGTGTGGGTCAGGCCCCCGGGGCCGTGGGCATGAGTGACCTCGCGCTCCTCTCGAGGGCGGGGAAGCGGTGCCCGTGGATCCTAACGCTTGGGCGGTGGCCCCTGGATAAAGCAGTTTCAGCGTTCAGTTTGGTTTTCTATTTGGGGGCCACACCCACCTGCAGGGGCTCAGGGCTTATTCCTGTCTTCGAGCTGAGATGTCACTGCTCCAGGCACCAGATGGGGAGCCGGGGATGGAACCCCGGGCCAGCTGTGCATGCGAGGCAAATACATCACCCGCTGGACTATCGCACTGGCCCAGTAGGTTTTTTTTTTTTAATTTTTATTAGTGAAACACCATGAGGTACAGTTGTAGACTTACAAATTTTTGTGCTTGGGTTTCAGTTATACAATGATCGAGTACCCATCCCTCCACCAGTGCCCATTCTCCACCACCACTGATCCCAGTATCCCTCCCACCCCCCATCTCCCCATCCCACCCTGCCTCTGTGGCAGGGCATTCCCTTTTGTTCTCTCTCTCCTTTTGGGTGTTGTGGTTTGCAAAAGAGGCATTGGGTGGCAATCATGTTCGGTCTCTAGTCTACTTCCAGCATGCTTCTCTCACCCTGGGAGGATCCTCACAACACCCTTTATTTGGTGCTCTCTTCTCTATCTGAGCTGCCATTTCTCCTAGCATGTGCGACTGGCCTCCAAGCCATGGAGTGAACCTCCTGGTACTTATCTCGGTTATTCTTGGGTGTTAGTCTCCTATTTTGTTACTTTATGTTCCCCAGAAGTTCCGCAGTCTTTCTATGTCTGTCACTCTCTTTCTGACTCATTTCACTTAGCATGATGCTTTCCGTGTAGCACCACTTGTACTTTCCATGTAGTACCACTTGTACAGCCCGTGGCATACCCAATATGCCAAATACCAGTAACAATGATGGGTCTCATTCTCCTAACCCTGAAAGAGCCTTGAATATGGAACTTTTTAAAATCTCAGGGCTAGGATGAAAGAGACGTTACTGGTGCCTGCTCGAGGCAATCTACCAACAACAGGATGATCGTGATAGTGATCTTTTCCAAAAGCTACATAGTATTCCATTGTGTAGATGTACCAAAGGTTCTTTAACCAGTCATCTGTTCTTGGGTGCTCAGGTTTTTAGTTTTGCTTTTTTAATAGATACGGACAGGTACTTACCAGGAGGTTTGCTCCACGGCTTGGATGCCAGCCGCACATGCTGGGAGAAAAAGGCAGCTCAGATAGAGAAGGGAGCACCAAGTAAAGGGTGTTGGGAGGATCACCCAGGATGGGAGATGCATGCTGAAAGTAGACTAGAGACCGATCATGATTGCCACTCAGTACCTCTATTGCAAATCACAACACCCAAAAAGAGAGAGAGAACAAAAGGAAATGCCCTGCCACAGAGGCAGGGGGTAGGGGGTGGGGGTGGGATGCAGGGGTGGGAGGGATACTGGGATCTGTGGTGGTGGAGAATGGGCACTGGTGGAGGGATGGGTACTCGATAATTGTATAACAAACCCAAGCACAAAAATGTGTAAGTCTACAACTGTACCTCATGGTGTTTCACTAATAAAAATTTTTTTTAAAAAAAGAGAAAAAATAGATATGGACAGGGGCTGGAGTGAAAGCACAGCGGGTAGGCATTTGCCTTGCACACAGCCAACCCGGGTTCGATTCCCAGCATCCCTTATGGTCCCCTGAGCACCGCCAGGGGTAATTTCTGAGTGCAGAGACAGGACTAATTCCTGTGCATCTCCAGGTCTGACCCAAAAAGAAAAAAAAAATAGATGTGGACAACAAATAGGAAATAGTTCAGAGATCTAAATTCTACACTTGACAGAAGGTGAAACAGAGAAGCCAGGCCTTTGCTAAAGGCATCAGCTAAGTTAGGGCCAATGTGAAGCCTAATTCATAAGGCCATTCTATTGGAAAGGAACTGAAGCGAAAGGTCGTGGCAAATTTAAATTTTAGAAGAAAATTGTCAAGGACGCTTATACCCGGAGAGAGTCTGGGCTTCGGGAATTGATCTGTGTGGGCTGATGCTTTCAAGTGATGGGGGAAATAGGAAGTAGCTTGGAAGGCACAGAATAATGATAAGGTCAGAGACAGATGCTGTCTCCCTTTTTGTAGCACTAGTCCTGGAACTTGGCTTGGTTTATCCTAAGTGAATGCTTGAAATTGCATTAGATTCCTCTTTGAATTGAATCAGAAAATGTAATTTTTAGAAAGCCATAGCACTGTAGCACTGTCCTCCTGTTGTTCATCAATTTGCCCAAGGAGGCAGCAGTAACATCTTCATTGTGAGACTTGTTTTTACTGTTTTTGGCATATTGAATACGTCACGGGTAGCTTGCCAGGCTTTTCCATGCAGGCGGAATATTCTTGGTAGCTTGCCGAGCTCTCTGAAAGGGGCAGAGGAATCGAACCAGGGTCAGCCGCGTGCAAGGCAAACGCCCTACCCACTATGCTATTGCTCCGGCCCAGCTTTCGAATACACATATTTCTAATCATCCCAACTATGCCATGTTTGGGGTTTTTTTGTGTTTTTGGTTTTGGTTGTTGGGCCACACTTAGTAGTGCTCATGGGTCACTCCTGGTTCTGCACCCAGGAATCACTCCTGTGGAGCCTATGGGAGGCCAGGGACAGTCCCCAGAGAAGCAAGCCCCCTACCCTCTGTACAATATGGAAGTCGCAGACCCCAGACCATAAAGATGTCTGTCAAGGGGGCTGGCAGGGAATGGGAGTGGAGGCAGGAAGGGGGCCTGGGACACGGGTGGGGGGAAGCAGTCCCTAAAAAGCCTTATAAAATTGATATTTACCTTGTGTCCTTAGTGTTATAAAATAATTGGAAAATGCTTTTGTCTAAATATGACATAGTAGGACTTTTTCTAATGGATTAATTATTCTATGTGGCTATTTATTTGCTTTTGACAAAATATATTTTTGTAAAACAGAAAGGTTAAATGACTTTTGAGGTCCACTTTGTACATAAACAAAGAATAAGTTAAAAACTTCCAAATAACTCTATGAAGGATGTGATGGAGGGTGGCGAGGTAACATTTGACCCTCTTGTTTTGTGTGATTCTTTATGCTTAGCTGGCCAGTGTCATATCTAAGGCCCTTTGAAGTTTTGTTTTCTCCTATTTTTATTGAGGTACTGTTTACATTTACAATACTGTTCGTGAGAGTTTCATGCATACATGCTTTCAGTAACACATCTAGTACAAGAGTGCCTGCTTCTTCCCACCAACACCCCTCTTTAAGGCTTTTGTTTTTTTAAAGCGCTAATCAGTGGAATCAATCATTCTGTGATCAACTCCGTAAAGCACTGTCTCTGAAGAAAGTACTAAACAATTCTGGATGACGTGTGGCATTTTCCTAGCTTCTCCCCTGGTACTGTTTATGTTGTAGTGTGGGTCCTTGTGCGTGAGGGAATAGCCTTGTTCATTCTGTTTGCAGAGCCCCCAGAAGACCAGAGGGACTCAGCCTGAGGGCTGCCATGGAGCAGGCGGCATCAGCAGGCAGATTCGTGCAGGTCACTGTGATAGAAGGCTATGACTTGGTGAGATTATTTTTGGAAATCTAAGAAGTTTCTAGCTTCTTCCTCCTTATTGAAACTATATTTGCCTTTTTGGCCCCAATCTCCTGTTCAATGCCTACCTATCAGGTGGGAGGCAAATTCTTCCTTTACCACCAATCCTTTTGGCTTTGCCTAGCAATGGCCCTTCCTCCAAAAGTGCTTCTTACTGAGAGTCTGAATCAGCAAGTCACTAGAATACATATGTCAAGTATCTGGAAATTTAAATACTCAATGTAATAGGGGTAAAAGATGTGATTTAAGTTCTTCCAGGTATCCATTCTTTCCTCCTGAAGAGAATCTGAATTCTTCAAGACTTTCTCTTGTGATTAATTTCACTGGATGAATTTGAATGATAGAATGTAAATATTCAAATTAGAAAAATAATGGAATGGCAAAACATTCCTTCAGTAATATGGAGTAAAAAATGCCTCTTTCAAAACAGGATATTATTCACTATGTTCCTAGTTTTCTAGGGACTCAGGGATATAGAATATGCCTCTCATATGTGAGACTCTGGGTTTCCTGGGTTCAATTCCCAGCACTACAAAAGAAAATAAAGGTATATGTAAATGTGTGAGTTTCAAAAGAAGATGTGGGCACACAGACTTGAGCATTTGGTGGCCAAGAGCCGTTCCCCTGGCCAGCCCACGGCAACAGACAAATGGACAAATGAAGGACTGGGGAATGGAGAAACAGGGCTCCAGGCTGGTTGGTAGACAGTTCATTTCTCTCTCCTCCCCAACACACTTCAATCTCTCCCCTTACAGCACAATCGTAGTTGTCGTTTCGGTCATAGTCCCAGTCATCATAGTTCCATCATCCTCGTCCTCATAGTCTTCCTAGTTCTTGTCTAGTCCCCTCTTACCCCTTACAGCACAGTTATATAGGAAGAAATCATGAAGGGTCAGATTAAACATAGGTGGGGTTGAACATTGTCATAACAACAGAGGTAAAGCCACTCCTTCAGGGGAAGTTCTAGGAGATTAACTCAAGAACAAGATCTCATTTGAGGGTTCAGCACTCTAGGTTACTAGGATATCTGCTCAAGGGCAGGATTCCACCCAGGGTGCATTGCTTTCTCCTTTCCTCAGTTAGTAATCCATTTAAACAATCATAGCGAATTTAATTCTTATAACATTTCTAGTCATTTTGTATGAACACAGTCAGAGATATATTAAGCTTAAAGATAGACTCTTCCTGGGGACATCTCACTATATATTCCAGACCACAGTCCTCAGGCCAGTTTAGTCTTTTCTAACCCCAGCACGGTCCTTATTTAGTTACTTCTTTTTGGATTATGACAGAGTTTGTTCCATGACCATGCTCTTAACTTATTATACTTAGGGTGTTTAGCTTGTCCTCTTTCGATGTCGGGGTAGCTTACAGCTTGCCCTGGGTCCATCCATCCCTTCATCGGGACCCCCCTTTTGGATGCCCAGGAGTAAATATTATTTCAGAGTCAATTAACTCCCATGCTTCTTTTGAAAGAAACATCTGATGGAAGGGGCTGGACTAATAGCACAGCAGGTAGGGGCATTTGCCTTGCATGAGGCCGAGCCAGGTTTGGTTCCTCCGCCCCTCTCGGAGAGTCAGGTGAGCTACCAAGAGTATACTGCCTGCGTGGCAGAGCCTGGCAAGATCCCCATGGCGTATTCAACATGCCAAAAACAGTAACAACAAGTCTCAAAATGGAGGTGTTACTAGTGCCAGCTCGAGCAAATCGATGAACAACGGGAGGACAGGGCTACAGTGCTACAAAAGCATAGCATCAACTATCTTCCATGTCTATAGAAAAAGGACATTGCGAAACCAGGCAAGTGACATAAAGGAAAGAGAAAGGCAATATAGGATTGTTAGTGCTTGATGGAATTGGGTGTGCCTCAGGGGCACTGTTGTGGGAGTAACCTAAGTTCCCTGCAGGAGGAGCAAGGACAAACTAATGTTATCCAACATAAATGTATATATGTATGGTACCTATATATTACAGTTATAGCGAAACACTTAAGAAATAAAGTTTAGAGTGTTACAATTCTTACACAGTAGAGTACTGAGATAATTTTCTTTTTTTTTAGGGCCACACAAGCATTAAGTACTTGGGGGCTACTGCCTACTCAGAGTTAAGGGGCTGTTCCTGAGAGTGCGGGGGGGAGGGGAGGTGCACACAGTGCCGAGGACCAAACCTGAACCTTCTGCATGCAAAGTCCATTGAGCTCTCTCTCTTTCTCTCTCTTGCTCCTGAAATGTTTCTCTATGTGCTTTTCTTTTCCATATTTCTACATTGTAATTTTTTGTAAAACAAGGTTTTTAAGTCACATGCATACTCAGGATACCATGCAGTGCCACAGATGTACCCATCTTTGAGCTATCTCCCTGGATCCTATAATTTTTCTTTTATTATATTTTTATCATTTGATAGACACAAAAATATTTTACAAAACTAAAAATATGGTACTTAAATAGAATCCTGCAGTTAGCTACTATTTGTTTTAAATTATGTCCTACTTCTCTCTTTCGTATTTGTGATATGACTTATTAAGAAATACAGGGCCAGATACAGTACACCAGGTAGGGTGCTTACTCTGCACAAAACCAACATGGGCTTAATCCGTGGCATCACATAAAAGGTAAAAGGTAAAGGCCCTCCCGTTGATCGTCGATTTGCTCGAGCGGGCCCAGTAACGTCTCCATTGGAGACTTTGTTGTTACTGTGTCTGGCATATCGAATACTCTCGGTAGCTTGCCGGGCTCTCCGAGAGGGGCGGAGGAATCGAACTCGGGTCAGCCATGTTGGCCGCGTGTAAGGCGAATGCCCTACCCGCTGTGCTATCGCTCCAGCCCATATGTGGCATATGTGGCATCACATATGGTACCCTAAACCCCCCCAGGAGTGATTTCTGAGTCCAGAGCCAGTACTAACTCCTGAGAACAGCCGAGTGTGGTCCAAAAATAAAATGAAAGAATGAAAAAGAAAGAGAGAGAGAGAAGGAGAGGAGAGAAGAAAGGAAGGAAGAAAGGAAGGAAGGAAGGAAGGAAGGAAGGAAGGAAGGAAGGAAGGAAGGAGGGAAGGAAGGAAGGAGAAAGGAAGGAAGGTAAGAAGGGAGGAAAGGAGGAAAGAATGAAAGAAAGAAAAGAAAGAAACAAAGAAAGAAAGAAACAAAGAAACAAAGAAAGAAAATTGATTGATTCTTTAGTTGGAATCAAAAAGTTACACAGAAAAATTCTCTAAGTATAATTATAAAAGTGATATTTTTCTTCCACAGAAAGGCTTTAAAGGGGATTCACCAGTTACCTTCATTCGTTCAGAATTCAATAATGTACTTCTGGGAGACTCTGCAAAAATTACTCTTTCTCCAGAAGGAAATGCGAAATATAACTTTACTAGCACTTTTGAGTTCAACCCTGAGGGAGGAATCACTTTAGATGACATCGCCCACAAACCTGTGTTCTGTAAGTACTAGTGTCTCTAAGGCTGTTTGTTATACAAGTATATTTTGAGGAGATTTGGAAGTATCTGGTAGGTATTATTGGGAGAGTTGAATGCAGCTGCCTTCCTTACTTAGGAATAATGCCACTTACTTGGTGCCTTACATGCTCTGGCTACTAATAGTAGTCACATGGGCTACTAACTTTAATTAACTTGTATCAAAGACCTTTTGATATATGATGGAATTTTTCAGCCTTTATACCCTATACAGATTTGATAGCTTTTCCTATGTATCAACCTGTATTTTGGGTTGCCATGTTTAGAAAAAGAAAAAAAAAAGAAGACTCCCCTGGCCCCTTCCCTGAGTCAATGAATAATAGTTTTGCATGAATAAGTCTCAAAATAGCTGGAGTTTCAAAATCACTCTGGCTCCTCTTCTGTTATCTTTAATAAATAAGTAGCAGAGCAAAGTATGTGGGGGCTGAAGAGATAGTACAGTAGGGGAATTGCATTGCATACACCCGACCCGGGTTCAACCCCCAGTATCCATATGGCCCCCTGAGCATCACCAGGAATATATTTCTGAGTGCAGAGCCAGGAGTAACCCCTGAGCATCCTCTGGGTATGACCCAAAAAGAAAAACTGGGTTTTTAAAAAGAAATGTAACAAATATGATAACCTAATGCAGAAGCTGATCTTTGAGTCCTGTGGTGAATAAATCAGCTACAAAATAGGCTTTAGGATAATTGAGAAATGTAAATGAGTTTTTTCACACACTGGGCTTAATGTTCTGTGGTTTTGTAGGAAAATGCCATATTTTGGGTTTCATACTTTAGTGTTTAGCAGTAAGCTGTCATGCATGATATCTGTAATTTACTTGGAAGTATTTCATGAAACAAGAATTGAAAAAGCACATATTAATGTTAAATTTAGGTGATATAATTACATGGATATCCATAATTATACTATTGTACTTTAGAAAATTTTCACAATAAATCTTATGCATTAAGACAGGGCAGCGTTGCTGTGGAAACCCTCCTAGAGCTATTGGACTCTCTCATTTACTCTAAGGTCTCTCAGACCTATGCCAGCCAACGTGAAGATATAAATGTTATTTCAAATAGAATATTGTGACATTTTCATCATTCTTAAAATCAATTCAGGAGGATCGTGATTGATCGTTTCTTTACAAGATGTAAAAACTTTTTAAAAAAAATAATTTGCTTGCAAAAAGTTTAGTAAGATGTTGAGATAGTTCGATTTTTCTTTCTTTTGGGTCACACCCGGCGATGCACAGGAGTTACTCCTGGTGGTGCTGGGAGACCATATGGGATGCTGGGAATAGAACCTGGGTTGGCCGCATGCAAGGAAAATACCCTACCTGCTGTGCTATCGCTCTAGCCCCTCAATATTTTTTTAAAACCAGAAGTTATCCAAAACATTGCCTCTTTGGATTTCAGATTAATTTCTCTTCAGTTTTTTTGGGCATGAGGCATGGTCCACTAGAGGGACCATATGGAGTGTCAAGAATTGAACCTGGGTTGACCGCATGCAAGGCAAACACCTTAGCCCTGTGTTATCTTTCTGACACTCTCTTAAATTTCTCAAACAATGCGTTACTTGCTATTCCTTATTATCCTATTTCTTGTTATATGATATATGAACTAAGCACATTCTTATTTTCTTGGTTTTGATTTTTCTAGTAAGTTTGATTGAAGTTTTACCAAAGGAAAAGAAGCAGAAAGAAGAGAAGACTTTACTTCTTGGACAAGCTGTTGTGGATCTTCTTCCTTTACTGGAAGGTCAGATATCTGATTTGCTCAAAAGTAGAAATAGCAAAGCTCATACTGCACAGTGGTTGCAGATTTTATGCTATTTTTTTAAAAAGGGGGTGTGGCCATGATGTGGCACTTAAAAAAATTTATGCTGGTGTTACTTAACGCAGGGTGTGAGAGTTGTGTGTGGTGATGATAATGTGATGAAGTAAAGTAAAATTTAGCTCTAGAAAGGTGCAGAAATCAAACTTAGTGAATCTGAGGAATTTGATGAAAAGATGAACTTATTTCTGCCCAACCTTCCTTCTTTGGCTTGACTTTCCCTTCTTTTCACAGGAGATAATTCATATGAAATGACGGTTCCTTTGCACCCTGTCCCGGGCTCACCTTTAGAACCTGTTAGATCAGGTATTAAGGTAATCAGCTTTTTATCTCTGAAAATTTCAGTCTCATGCAGTCAAACAATCTGTTTGTTATAAAGGTTCAACTCAGTGGAGGGGTTGGAGAGCTATTACAGGGGTTAAGGCTCGTGCCATGTACATAGCTGACCCTAGTTTGATCACCAGCGCAGTATATAGCCTGAACACTGCCAGGGATGATCTCTGAGCACCAGTATGACAGCCTGATGCAGCCAGGAGTAAACCCTGAGCATCATCGGGTGTGGGTCCACCACACAAAAAGAGGTTAAACTTGGTTGAGTCCAAACCATTAGATACACATTGTGCTAGGTTCTTGAAAACAAAGATAAATAATGAAGAGTCATACCTTTTAGGAGTCTATAAGTTTGTACCATGGATTATAACCTAGTGTGATTAAATGAAGGTGTGGGTATGTACTCACAGAGTAAGGTTTTGGTTATTATGGTAAGTTATGAATGAAGGAGAGGCTTAACTGTGTATCTGTCTTCTAGCTATGTATTTTTTTTATGTAGGAGTACTGCTATTTATTCAGCCACTGATTAGGCTGATTGAATTGGGCACGAACTCCACCTTACTTCTTTTTTCTTTTTTATAAATTTATTGAATCACCGTGAGAACAGGTACAAAGCTTTTGGGTTTAAGCCTCAGTCATACAATGCTGAAACACCCATCCCTTCACCAGTGCCCATTTTCCAACACCAAAACCCCCAGTAAACCCCCTGTCTCACACCCTCCCCCTAACTGTGGGGCAGATGTTTTCCACATTACTCTCTCTCTACTTTGATTACATTCAATATTTTGATTCCAGACCCCCCATTATTATTTGGGATTTTACCCCAACACTCAGATCTGCCTAAAAGGCAACAGTGAACATATGAATAACATATAGTGTTGCGTGGCTGCAGTAGTGGCTACGTGATTTTGAAATTCTGAAATTTTAACACTTAGATCTGGAGGGATTTCTGCCAAAATCTGCTGGGTTCCGAGATCTGTTTCTAAGTCTCTTGGATCATGGTCATTAAGCAGCTTGATCAGGAGCCAGAGAGGCTGTTTGTGGGCGGCGACTCAGGGTCTCACTGGGGCGGGGAGGAAAGGGTCGGCTCTACCCCCATCCCGTGAGGCCCCACGTGTCTCGTCACTGTGGACCCAAACCTGATTGTCCAGTGACCTCTGGAGGATGGTGGCCACTGAGCTGCCAAGGGGGAGCAGGTGGAGGGACAGCACCTGTTCCCCCTTGGGGTGGCCCGGCAACAGTAACCTACTGTGGGGTCCGGATGCATTTTTGCCGAAAGCCACTGGGTTTTGAGATTTGTTTCTGAGTCTCTGGGATCATGGCTGTTAAGCAGCTTGATCAGGAGCCAGAAAGGCCATTTGTGGGTGGCGATTCAGGGTCTCATTGGGGCAGGGAGGAAAGGGCCAACTCCACCCCCATCCTGTGAGGCCCTGCATGTCTCATCACTGCAGGCCCAAACCTGACTGTCCAGTGGCCTCTGGAGGATGGCGGCCACTGGGCCGCCTGGGGGAACAGGCCAAGGCATGAAACCTATTCCCACCTGGGGTGGCCCAGCGTTGGTAACCTACTGCATTTCTGCCAATAGCTGTTGGGTTTCGAGATTTGTTTCTGAGTCTCTGGGATCATGGCTGTTAAGCAGTTCGATCAGGAAACAGAGAGGCCTTGTCTCCAATTATATAGCTGAGCCAGAGGTGGTTTGTGGGTGTGTCTCCCACATACCTGACTTTTGGCCGTTTACTTTCTTGTTAAACTTTGCCCCAAGTTTTTGGGGTATGGCCAAAGGCACAGCAGCAATTTTGGGGTATCTGGAAGTCTGAAGGCGCCATCAGGCTGCTGATACACTCGCCTCACAGGTACAGACTGGCCTGCTGGTGGCACTATACCCCCTCTAGCTTTGTCTTGACAGTTGAATTCTGTCTGGCATGGTTGTCTGCATCTGGTTTGGGGAGAAGGGGAAGCAGGAGTTGATAGGCTGTGCCTCTGTTTTGTCTTGACTATTTCCCTTTTTTTCTGGGGGTCAGTGATTTCTTAGAGTGCTGCTTTTCTACCTTAGGCAAGTACACTCTCTAAGCAGAATGCTTAAAAAACACGCTTTTTGCTTTGCTTATGTAAAGGAGAATCCAGCTGACCCAACCATTACACATGTAGTTCTGTATCACCATCTGTAGACCCTTTTCTTGTCCTTGATGCTGACCTTGAAATTGCCACAACCCACTCCCAGATTGCTGTGGTTCTCTTGTTCTTTAATTCTAGGATGTGTTTTTTTTTTGTAGGTCTTATTTAATTTGAATTCTCTTCTTTTATTGCACCTAAATCTGTCGCTCTCACTGTCACCGTGCTCCCGTTGTTCATAGATTTTGCTTGAGCGGGCCCAGTAGCATCTCCATTGTGATAATTGTTACTCTGTTTGGTATATCGAATACGTCATGGGTAGTTTGCCAGGCTTTGCTGTGCAGGTAAGATACTCTTGGTAGCTCGCCGGACCCTCTGAGAGGGATGGAGGAATCAAACTCGGGTCGGCCATGTTGGCCACTTGCAAGGCACCTAAATATAAAATTTAATATTTTTCATCGGGCTGGAGCAATAGGACAGCGGGTAGAGCATCTGCCTTCCAGGCGGCCAACCTGTGTCTGATTCCTCTGCCCCTCTTGGAGAGTCCAGCAAGCTACCAAAAGTATCTCACCCACACAGCAAAGTCTGGCAAGCTACCCATGACGTATTCAATATGCCAAAAATGGTAACATAAGTCTCACAATTTGTTGTGGGATGTTACTGGTGCCCGCTCGAGCAAATTGACGAACAATGGGAGGACAGTGACAGTGACAATATTTTTCATCATTCGTGTGATTGGTACTGGAATTGGTATGCATTTGAGCATAGTTTGCCAGCTTTGGCTCAGCATTATAGCTTATATATATTTTTCTTAGATGTCTGTGGAAGAAAAGTTAGTCAAATGGATTGCAGTTTCTTATATTTCCTTATAAAATTTCTGATCGTGGAGCTATATTGATAAGACAGCAGGTAAGGCATTTGCCTTGTATGTAGCTGACCAAGGTTTGATCCACAGCATCTCATATAGTCCTGTGAGCACCACCAGCAGTAATTCCTGAGTGCAGAGCCAAAAATAAGCCCTGAGTATTGCAGGGTGTGCCCCCTGCCAAAAAAAAAATCCCTGAACTTATTTTACTTATTTTTTTTTTTACTTTTTAACTTATTTTTGCATGATCAAGAAAAAATATGTTAAAGTTAAATCCCATTTGCTGAAGTTCTCACTGATTTTATATTTCAGTTTATACTCTTGTCTAAAAGCCTCCATCCCTCTTGAAGAGCCTGGCAAACTACCTAGAGGATCCCGCCCTCACAGCAGAGCCTGGAAAGCTACCCGTGGCGTATTTGATATGCTAAAAACAGTAAACACAGTAGGCCTAATTCCCCTGACCCTGAAAGAGCCCCCAGTACGGCAGCGGCAGCGTTAAGAAGGATGAGGAAGGAGAGGTTGATAAAAATCTCAGGGCCAAACTAGGCTGCCAAAACAAAGAAGGACTAAAATGACTGTCTGTACTTTCAATGCATGTTTTCTGGCATCAGAAGCATCCTTCAAGGACCTGATGGTGCAAGTGCAGAAGATCAAGTATGACATCATTGGTCTGATCGAGACAAGAAGGCATCAATCACATCATGCCATTTTCGACACTGGAGACTCCAAGAACTGTTCCTTGGATCATGCAACAAAAGAGGCATCGGTGGTGTCAGTGTCCTTGTCAACACGAACTTGGCGGTGAGCATTGATTCATTCGAATGCCTAACAACTAGAATCAGATGATTATACTTGAATAGATGTGGCTCACTGCTAGCAGTTTCTTTCTTTGTCGTCTACACACCAACATCCAACTACGATGAAGAAATTGAGAAGTTCTACATGGAGCTGGAGAAGTTCTGTAAAGAAGACCACACCTTCAACAAGATCATTGTCAGTGATTTTAATGCCAAGAGAAGATTGGCTGAAGAAATCCACATCAGGACCCACGGCCTAGAATGGAAAGAACAGGTAGAGACTGTCTGAGTTGATCATGTCGACCAAGACCATCCATGGTAACTCACAGTTCCAGAAGGCCAAATCTAATTGTTGGACATGGGAGTCTCCCGGTGGACAGTTCCACAATGAAATTGACACATCATATTCAATCGATGGTTTTGCCTGACTGATGTCACTGTTGTCCCAAAATTCCAAACGGGATCGGACCACCGTCTCTTTCATGCAAAATTCTACTTCACAGAGTTGGGAGAAAGGACTGCAAAGCTTAAGAGCACTCCCAGAATGACCACCAACTGGGAGCTCTTTGGCACTATTGTGGCAATGTGGGAAGATGCCATCATTAACAACATCAATCAGGAATACAATCGACTGGTTCAACACCTCCATGACTGCATGAGGAATGCCGAGAGTGGGAAAGCCACAAACAGATGCTTGCTTTTGGAAACTCTTGAGCTCATTCGCCAACATGGTTTGGCGTGAGCCTCAGGCAATCACAAGCTAACATCTGAGCTTGCAAAGCTGTGCAGAGAAGCAATAAAGGAAGGCCTCAAATAGAGAAGAGCAGCAGTGTTGGCTGATGCAACAGAAGCCGTGGAAAGTATTCGCAACTCTCACCTGTCCTTTGCCAACTACAAGACCAAGATGACTGCCCTCCGATGTCCTGATGGATCTATTACATCTTCCAGAAGGGCAATGGAGAAGATTATCCACGACTTCTACTCCTGTCTCTTTGATAGCCACGTCCACCTGCCCACATACCAAATTCCACAGGATGGATATGTCATTCCCAACATTCTCCCTTCCAAAATCCAATACGCCATTTTGTCAGTAAAGAAGTGTATAGCACTCGGTCCAGACAAGGTCAAACCCGAACACCTGAAGAATCTGCTGCCAGTACTCGTCAATACACTGGCTCGGCTCTTCACACCCTACCTGTCTGAATGCAAG